GCAGACAGTCTGACGTAGTAATTCAGTAAATAAATTTGATGTGTTGAGTGACTATCATTACGTTAAAAATAATATAAAAAATATTTTTATTGTTAATTTTTAATATGTAAGTATAAAATTATTTTAAATCTAAAAAAAAATTTTTTTTTGTTTTGACGTTTACGGATGATCAAAATTCAAAGTCAATCACGGGTAAAAAGTTTACTAGATTTCTGTCCGTAAAAGTTTTAGTTTCAGACAGTTTGCAGACTAAAATCAAAATTTTGACGTTAAAGAATTTGCGGGATACGTTTTGAATTCTTGATAACTTTTTTATTTATTAATTTTTTTTTTTTATTTCAGAATCTTGTAAACAAGGCTTGACAAATTTATAATGGAGCAGTACACAACGCAGCAGCGAACAAAAATCATAGAATTTTACTATCAAAATCACAGGTCAGTTACTTTAACTCGGCGAGAATATCGGCGATATTTCAATGTGCGGAATCTGCCCTCTGCAACAACAATAAACCGCCTGGTAAGACATTTTGTATTTGTAAAATTAATATGATTATAAAAATTTTAATTTTTGCCTGCAAAAATTTGTCAAGTTGGCGTCAATTCCGTTAATTTTTGACATAATGGTACAAATTGAATTTAGTATATTCTTATTTTCGTTATTAAATTATTAGTATATTTAGTATATTCTTACAAATTGACGAAACTTGATTGATATTCAACATATTGTATACACCATTCACAACATATTAACTTAATAAAATCTCGATTTAACACATTTATCGCAGTAAGCACTAAATTAACAAACTCATATTCTAATTTCTAAATAGTATAAAAATTCCTTAAACGAGTCACTCAGAAATTTTTTATATCGTTTCTAATTAATAGTTTTCAAGTTAAAGTAACTTTAATTACAACTTTCAAATCAAAGACGACTTCTTTTATTGCCTAAACAATGCTTTTCAAAAAGTCTTTGTAATTTTACGAGGGACTTTTTTGTAACATACATGCTCACTAATAATTTATAGTAAAATTGATTGAAATTTGTTCAAATTTTTCTCTTTCCAAATTTTTTTTCATAAAATACTTATAATAATGTACGATTTTTCGAAAAAAATCATATTTTAGTCAACAACTTAAAATTATTTGCCAATATTATTACAATTTTAAGACTAATTCAAATTTCCAAATTTAAAAAAATTCCAATTTCATTACAATATGACGATTTTTTTTAAATTTTGAGCATATTGGGAAAGAACAATGAACTCAAATTAATAAAAACCAAATAAATTATTTAAATTTTTATTTTTTTTTTTTAAATTCGGGTTAAATAAATAAATATTTTTTTCATTTATTTATAATTGGCGTCTCTGTTTTTTAGCGCTTCATCTAACACTCAAAATCTAAGTATAAGTACACTTAATATAAATGTATGCAAAAATATGTATATTAATACGTACTCAAATAAAACTTGAATTATAAGGTGTAAAATAACTTCATACTTATATACCACATAATTGTATACTCATTTTGTAGATAATTAAAATAATAATAATGAAATTCAAATGAAAATAAACCAAACTTTTTAAATACCATAAAAATATTTCATGTCTTCCTGTATCGTAAATTAAAACTTTTCAAATTTCAATGCACATATACATATATATATATATATTAACTTATTCGTGATGATTAAAATTGATACGTACTGATTTTAAATATACAAACATGCAGCTTATATAACTTTTAATTTAAAAATTATAAGCGAACAAGAATCAAACAAATTTTATGAAAATTTTATAAAATGAATAAAAATTTTTGTCAAAGGCTCTACAATAACAAGAAGAGGGAGATTTCGACGTTGGAGAATTTTTCTTATAATTAGAATAAACAAAAAAAAATTTTTTTGAATTTCATTAATTTTTTGGTAACAATATAAATCTTATTACTTATGTAAGTATGTAAATTGAAGAAAATTAAATCAAAGTTTCCTTCTTAAGTCCTTTATAACAAATTTATTGAAATGAAAATGTGCAATTTTTTGATTACACTACACCTCAGTTATAGATAGTAGCTTGTTAGCAATAATATTAGATACTATGGCAATTAATTGATGTTTCAAACACATTCTTAATATTTCATATACAATTATACAAGAAATAGGTGTTCTTTCTATTAAGTTAGTGATTTTCACTAACTACGGCTGTTGATGACTAAAAATTAGGTTATTTTAATTAAATCCCTCTTACAATCTACGACAAATATTTTATTGCAATTATTGTAATCATTCAATGCCATATCAAAATATTTCAATTCATTTAATTTTGCATGAAATTATATTTGAACAATTATATTATTTCTGCACTAATAATATTTTTATTTCATTGTTATAAGATTACATCCTCGAATTTGTAATTTATTCATTAAAACAAAAATTAATAAAATATTCTTGAATTATAAACAACTTTTAATAATCATAAATAACTTGTTTCATCTTTTTACTTTTGCTTCTTTTTCTAATTTCATTAAGATATTTATTTTATTTAATTATTATAATTAAAATTATAATTACCTATTATTACAAATTTTAATTGAGAAAACAAATTAAAAACAATAGCGTACTTTTATATCATTTTTTACTTAATTTTAAATTAATTTTATAACATAATTAAATGGCAATAGAATTCTAAAAGAACCGGTCTTTAAAAACATTAAAACTTAATTTTTTAAAAAATAATTACTTAATTCTATTATATAATAGTATAATGAGTAGATATTAAAATTTCATACAATTTTTTTGTGAAAAGAAAATCCCATTAAATATTTAATTTTATTATAAAAAAAAATAAATACTTTAATCATTATTACTTACCTATTTTTTATATTAGTATTTTATTATCCAAATTATTTGAAAATTAAGTAATCCATTAAATATAATATTTAAAATTTTAAAAAAAAAAATTGAAATTAATATGAAAATTTCAATATTCAAATTTTATATATTTCAATAAGAAATCATAATTAAAAATTTCAAATAACATTTTTATATTTTGAAATTATTAAATTTTTTAATTTTATAAAACAATTAATAATTATATATATATTTTATTATTGTATGCTAATTACAAAATATTGGAATATTTTTAATTTTTAAAATATAATTACATTTTTCAATCAATTAATAATTTTCTCACTTTTACCAATATAACAAATTCTAACAAAATACCTATATGATTTAATTATTTTTTAAAAATTATTACGTATTTAATTATTATTATAATAAGACATACATATAAAATCTTGATATTTTTAAACTTGTAATAAATGCAATATTTATTATTTACTATTTTACTAAAATTATTAATTATAATTATCAAATAATTTTGTTGATTTAATAAAAGAAAAATTGAAAAAAAAATTTCCCTCTACTATAGAATTTTAACAATTTATTATTTTTTTTCATTAAATTAAATTATTATACTTAATATTTTTAATTAACATAAAAATAAATTTTATAATTAATATACATATGTATATGTATAACAATTAATATAACAATTAAAAATATTTTATCGTACACTATTAAATTATTTCGAATTATATAAATGCTAAGAAAATTCTTAATTATATAGTATGTACCTAAATATTAGAATTTTTTCTTAAAAAATAATTTTTGAAAAACTTTAATTTTTTTTATTCATATTCATTTATTTAATGCATATATACAACAGATATACAATATATATTCACATACTTATCGACTTCACTGTAATTTTTATAATCGAATACAACACATGAATTTTTCTTATGTATTTTTAATAAATAAATATTATAAGTAAACTTTTCGTATATAAAAAATATTAACGAAACACTTGTATGCAAAAAAAAAAAATAATTTTCTTATATGTACTTTCGAGCGTACACACTTGTAATTTTGCAAAATAATTTGCTCGCGTATATTTAATTTTGCAGTATTGTAGAAAATTGTAGCCAAAAAAAAATCGATAAATATCATTTAAAAATAATTATAATTTAAAAAGTTTTAATTTTTATTCCTTTAATTTAAAATATTTAATTAAAAAATAAATAAATAAAACAAAAAAACAAACAAATTCCGCCGACCGATTAATATAAAACGTTCTTTACGTCAAATAATCCAAAACTCAACTAAATTTTCTTTTCTCTTTTACAAAATTACGATTTCCTCTACCGAATGAATGAAGTTAGAGATTTTCAAGTTTTTTTTTTTTTTGGTCTCTAAAATAATATGTATTTAAATACTATAATATGTATGTGTTTGTATGGGAAAGAATAAAATGCCAGGTGGAATGACTTGTTTATGTTACCTACCATACCATGCTACCGCAATAATATTAAATAAATTGATATTGATGAAAATTTTCTGATGATCGTTCATTGTGTTTGTTTTCTCTTTTAAAACATCAATACTAACACTATCATAGAATTTTTATACTAATAATTATTATTTTAATCTTGTTTACAACTTTTATTTATTTATATACATATATATGTGTAACTAAGTTGGCATAACAAAAATTATTTTATGTTACATTGAAGTAACACAAAAGTATGTAAACATTTGCAATGAAATTTATTAAAAAATAATTTTTAAAAATATATTTTTGGAAATTCTTCCTTAAAATCTTCAATATATGTACAATTCAATTATTTTAAGCAGTTTTAAAATGATTTCCTTTTTCGATCAAATCGATTATAATTTTGACTTTCTTTGAAATCGATTCTTTTTTCATTGTTCAATATTTTATTTGCTAAATCGATTAATTATTTTTTAATAATTCGATCAAATATTTTCAAAATTTAAATATACTTTCATTAATTAATCAAAAAAGTTAAATTATAATATTGAATTATTGCATTTCAGAAATATAAATAAAATGGATTACTAGCATTAAACTCTTTACTTTTAATGTTTCTCACTATACAAACATAATTAAAAAAACCAATTATTAAAAAAATCAATTACAACTTTATATTTTATTACACATCATATATAAAATTTCTTTCATGATATAAAAAAAACATAATTAATTTCTCTTATCAATTTTGATCTTGACTCCAATTTATAATAAATTCCCTTAAACTTAGCAAAGCTAATTGTCCATAATCATCATAACTATTATCATCTTTTAAACGTCTTAAAAAACATTCTTTACTTTCAACACCAACAGGACCATATTTTTTTATATTTAGAATTCTCCAAATATCTTTTTTGTAATGTTTCTGAGCACATAATAATAATCTATTTAAATTTTCTTCTGTTAAAGATTTGTGATTTTTTCCAGCCGACTTTTGTAAAATATTTAAATATCTAGCAAAATTATTTAATGAAATACGCGAAGTAATATGTGAGCTTAACTTTATCAATAACTTAAATATAACTGTTTCCAGATGTTGAAAATTATAAAATTCTGCTTCTCTTATTTTTATTGAAAACCATAAATTATTGATGATACTAATAACTGCTTCGATGGTATCAAATTTATAATATTCTATTTCTTCTATAACACTATTAAGCCATGGTAATATACCAATATAATCTATTAAGATCTTACTTGATGCTGGAATTTTACAACAAATTGATATTATTGATAAAATTTGTAAATTTAAATCTAAATTAGTCATAACACTAAAATAGAAGCCCATTAAAGCTTTAAAAATATTATTTGTTATTAATATAACCAAATCTGAACTAGATTTTATTCCATCCTTAATTACTTGTAAAATAAATTTTTGAAATAGCGTATGATTAACTTCAGAATTATGAAAGAGAACATTAAATTCTGGTACACATAAGAAATCAAAAGTTTCTTTTAAACGTAAGTACATTACAATTGTTTTATAAAGTGAATCTGTTGGTGTTATTAACAAATTTACAGCTCTAGCTAAAAATAATCCTGATATATAGGGAACTTTAGGAATACCATTCTTTTTATGCTTAATCCAATTAATTTGTAATTGATTTAATCCATTCTGAATATTATCGTATGCCTGAATCCATAATGGTTGATCAAAAAATTTTTTACTTTCAATATGCTGCCTATAACGAAGTTGACAACATCCTGCTGCCAAACGCATTTCTTTATCATGACTTGACAAAGCTGCAAATAGAATACTCAAAAGTCCATTTTGAACAGGTCGCACTGGTTGAGATTGTATTTCTGGGGCAAAACACATACACATAAGTGGTATCATAAATGCTGGATCATAACAATTTTCATAAAGAATATCTCTTTTTAAACATAATTTTAGTAGAGAATTATCAATTTTGCTATCGTTTTTGTTATTGTAACCTGCAAATAAGAAGTTTTCAATTTCCTTTTCAACAGCATTGGAACCGAAATTCGAAACTAAATTTTCTGGATTATCAAACACTACTGCTGGCAATTGTTTCAAAGTATTGAGTTTCCTCCAAACTGGAAAGTTTTCTATAGTAAATTCACTTGTAAATCGATCTATTAATGACATTACTTGATCAACTGTAAGCTCTTGCTGCTCTAAAGTTGTGGCGTCAACTTTTCCTAAAGAATAATGTGAGACAGCTGTTTCACCCCATACAAATGGTCTAAATTCGTATAAATTTACTTCATTTTTCTCATAATATTGAATTAATGCTAAAATGTATCTATCAGATTTACATAATTTTGCATTGTAGGAACCCAAAAATATTGGTATATGTTTTTTATTTAAGATTTTTACATTTTTCTGAACTAAAATTAAAAGTAAATTAAAAATTTGTGTTTTTGTTTCACTTTGCGTATTATCAAAAACAATATCAGTGAATTTAGAATGTGATAAAATCATGTCAAAAATTTGCTTAGTTTCATCATTTTCACATTCTACTTTACTAAATATAAATGAGCTCAAATATGCTAATATTTTTAAAATACTCGAATTTATTTTATCTTCCAGAAGATCATTTGCTTTTTGTATACCATATTTTAAACAATTTTTGTAAAACGCTGGCCAATATTGCGATTCTTTGATCATATTAAAATCAATTAACTCATTATTGTTATATTTTCGGAAATATGATTCCATCCCGTTATATATGGAGTAATTTAAATAGTCAATTTTTTTTTCATCAAAACTATCTCGCCTAAATATTATATTATACAGTTGTAGGCAGTTATTTAGGAAATTTGCAAAAATTGATTTGTATTCATCAGAGTTGCAGTGTAAGGATTGAATAGCTTTGCCAAAAATAGCATTTAATAATTTAATTTGATATATTTCAACTGTATCCGTTTTCACAATTTTTTTAGAAAAGTCCACACATTCATTTATAGGCATTACTTCATTTACAAGATATATTGATACTTCTACATTTTCTTTATAAATTACACCTGATTTTTGAGGTTTTTCTATAGTTTTCATAAATCCATTTTTAAACTCTTGATAAATTTCTTTTAACAACTTATTATTAATTTTAAAACTTGGATTTTGGTGGATTAAAATTTTTAATAACGGATATATAATTTCCTTTTTAAATAAATTCTTTTCTATGTTATCTAAGAATATACTTTGCAATTTCGGATTTCTCTCTAACATTAAAACAGCTAATTTGATTGCACTTTTCGTAAGTTTCTTACAATCAAAAAATAGTTTAAATAGTCTATCCGGGAATATATCGATACACTGGTGTGATATTACCAATAAATTATAAAAAGATTCCTCAAATTTCTCTAAATTTTTTTCAAAATCATTATTTTCATTAAGTAATTCAATATATATGTTGGAAAGTTTTATACATAAATTTTTGTCATACATTCCTTCTCTTAATGCGGATATTCGATTTAATGTAGTGCATAAAATTTCAAAATATACAGATTTATTCTGGATTTCGGTTTTATCAACAAAATCTTCATGACTTAAATGACAAATGCATTTTAATATTTCAACACATTGATCATTTGTCATTCGAAAACTTTCTATAACATTTGTAATCAATTCAGATTTTGGTTTTGTTTTATTTTTCATTGTTTTTTTAACTTGAACTCCAATCTCATGAACAATTTTTTGTTGAAAATTTATTAGAAATTCATTAACTTCATCACCAATTAGTTCTGTTACAGAGTTCGTCAAATCACATAATAGTAATAAAAAATTTTGTTTCGATTCTGTTTCCGCAAACACATCAAAATCTTGAATTAAATGTATGTGACTTGAATATATGTATTTCAAAATTTCTTTCAAATAAAATATATCAGTTTTTGGGAATAAATCACCATCTCCAAATATGACACCTTTGAATGATGTTCCTTTATCACTATCCAATAGATGTAAAATTTTAAGAAAATATTTTAAAAATTGATGACTTGCTTTTGCATTATTTTCTTTAAAACGTTCACCTTCAACAAGATGTAAGGTTGTAAAAATTGTTAAATATATATAAAGCAGTATTAGACGCTCGTTTTCAATAATATCAATTAAAATATGTTCTTTAGTACCATTCAAAATGTTTATTTTACCTTTTCCAGTAGTATCTTGAAAAAGTTCAAAAAATACTAAGTCTCCTTTTAAAATTGCTTCTTGAATCCTATTATAAAACGGAATTTCTCCAGTACCTGGAATCGCTTCAACTTTATTTTTTTTTAGAATCTTTTTCATATAATATTTATTTGCCTCATTCTGAGAATTGTTAGAATATACTTCGTAAATGGATTCGGGAAATGGATGATAATGAAATAATAAAAGTGATACCATATCTAAGAATTTGATAATTTCCTCATCCTGATCAATTTTCAGATATATAAAATGGAGAAGAACACTTAAACTTAAAGGTTCTACATAACCTTCGACAGCCTCTCCACTTTCAATTTTTTCGAAGAGCATTTTTAAATCGGAAACTTTTTCGAATTTTGAATGCTCTACATTGGAAATATTATCATTTATTTCTTCTTCGACTTCTTTTAAAGGTACTTGAAAGCAAGCATAAAACATAAATATTAAAAGATCAACATCTGCAGGATCACATAATTTTAAAGCTTGCAACCATATATCAATCTCAAGTTTATTTGTTTCAGAAAAAAACTTTGTGTTAATAAATATACTACGCAATACATTTCCAGCTTCCTTTTGCATTTCTTTTTCGCCATTAACAAAAACATTAACAAAACATTTTAAAATCCGTTCAAAAATCTTTTGATCTGGTGATAATTTTAAAGGTGTTAATAGTAATATAGTTTTGATGGCTTTTAATTCTAATTTAATGTTTTTAGTTCCCAGTTCATCTGAGTTAAAAATGGGATCAAGAAAGGTCATATAATCTATAATCAAACCTGATTTATTGAAAAATGTACGATGATGAGTTGCAACTAAGAGAACTAAGTCCAATATTACGTCTAAATATTCCATTTGCCTTGGATTATCGAAATCCAAAGTTCTCGTAGTTTGAAACGACGACTGTAAGATATTTTCCATTGTTGGAAAATTTACAGATATGAAATTTATTAAATCCAATTTAAAACGTTTCATGTCACTGCCTTTATACTTTTCACGATCAAGTATAGCAAACATATAATTACAAAACTGCTGAAACATAGTCAGCAACAACTTTGAAGTTTCAAACCGTAACTCAAAATTATCTGAAAACAAGAACATGTCTCCCTTTAGATGTACTAATATTTCTGGACTTAAACAAATGTCTTTTATTAAAAATGTATAATCGTTCAAGCTTATCTTATCTAATATTTTATGGAATATGGATGGTGCACAAGCTAAAATCAATTTTCTGATGAAATCAACAACGTTTAACCAAAAGGCTTTTGCTGTTTTATATGGATTTACGTATGGTCCGTAAAATCTTATTATACTTCTAGCAATATCTGGACACGTTTTTAATATATTGATAACTAATTCTGTTTTCATATCATCCATCCATGGATATTTTAATGACTTCAAAAATTTCTTCTGTAATTGATTTTTTTTTTGTTTATAATTTGTCATTGAATCAAATGCCAAACCATATTTTCGAGATGTTAATAAGACAGAAAGAAATTCATGAACAGCTTCCCTGACTTGAAGTTTATCACCATTAATTTTTTCATTATTTTTTTCAATATTTTCATCTTTAGCCAAATTTTCATTATCTAAATATAAAATATGAGTTTAGTATAGTTCATTTCGATTGAAAAAATATTAAAATTACCTTCAATTATTTTTTTGTTTGCCTTGCCAATGTTATCTTTAGGCCAGTTGTATAAATGTGCTAAATCATTCAAAGATTGAGAATCAAATAAGTATACTTTTTTTGTTTTTAATACATCTGGATTTTCTAAAACAAATTTTTTTATAGTATTTAAAACAACGCATATCGTAACACTATCATCATTTATGAGTCCAGACAGTAAGGCTTTGAATAAATGTCGTTTATCCATAATATTTCTAATTAAAACTATATTTCCATCAATCAAATATGATAAAATAAAATGAATAAATGATTTACGAACACTTTCATTTTCATTTTGCTTCAATGTTGAATGCGATAATAATTTTTCAATAACTTTAGTATTTAATAAAAACTCAAGGCAACTTAATATTTGTCTACCAAGCTCAGGTTCCAAACATACTATTGCTGTAAGTAGTTTCAAAATTATTGTTCTATGATATTGACTTGGCGATTTTAATAATTTTTCAATTATTTGACTATGACTTTTTAAAAAATATCTTGATGCATTGATGGCACTTAAAGTGTACTCTTTTTTATCTGCTAAAATTTTCATCAAAACCATTTGAAATGCATCGCAAATATATGACACATGATGAAGATGTGTTTTGTCAATTCTTTCCAATGCTTCAACTAATTCTAAGGGTTTTCCCTTCTTACTCATATATTTACTAATAAAGTTTTCATTTTTTTTGGCTAAATGTAAAAAATGTCTTAATTCTGAAAAAAAAAAAATAGAAAAATTATTTTAATATACTTTAAAAAATGATAAATTATTTTAAAATTCTTTCTTATTATAGTTAATAATACAGGAAAGCAAAGCGAAGGCATCCCACAAAGTATTTTTATCAAAATGGTATTGGACAAGTCAAGGACTTTTTTCCTTGACCAACATCATTTTGATATTAGACAAGTCAAGTGTTTGTTAAGAGCTTTATATTATAGTTGTCCATTGAAATTTTTCGGGATTTTTGAATAAGTGTGCCCTTAAGGTGTTAGAAAATCTTAAATGGAATGACTAATTAAAATAGTAATTTTAATTGATAATTAATACGAAATAGAAATGAAATTTTTTTTATATAAAAAAATAATTTCTTATCAAATGTGCAAATTTCCTCCTTGATACTTAATATAAATATAATTTTTTTTATAAAAACACTAAATAAAAAAAACTCTAGGTCAAATTCTTATCATGAACAAATTCTAAATTTGTAATGAAAATAAAAGTTTTGGTCAGAAAAATGTGATTATTCTCGCAGAAAAAATATCAACTCAATTAGTTTATATGAAACATTTGTAAAGAAAACATTCACTTATGAAAAAAACGATACGAAGCTAAAAAATATTACAATATGACTAAGCTTACTTTGGCATCAATATTTTGGCTGAGTCTTGCACTCAATGTGGTAATTAAAATAGAATTAGGTTTAACTGTTTAATCTAACTAAAATAAATAAAATTATAATAAGTAAATATTAAATTATTAAAACATTTTTCAAAAAAAATATTTTCGTAACAGAAATCATCCCCACTAGAAAATGGATTTGATGAAAACGCTGCTCAAAAGCATATAAATGAAACTAGTGAAGAATTTATAAATTTGTATAATATTATGGCTCAAAAAGCTTTTGAAATTGATGATGAAAATTTTATAGAAGCATTAATGAGCATTGATCTTTTGGAACAAGTTGCAATGAATCTTGCTGAAATGGCACAGTATACAAAAAACTATCCATATGAACAGTTTTCCAATGAAGAACTTAAATCTGGTATGAGAAATTTACGTACAGCTGCATATCTATATGTTTTAGAGGAGAATTATTTCAATAAATTTATGTTTTCGACACATTTTTTACAACAATTGGGAACAAATGAAAAAGTATGTGAATATAAAAATCCTAATAATTGTGAATTATCATTTTATCCGGATATTGCAAAAGTTATTTCTAAATCAAATGATGACGAAGAATTGAAATATTATTGGGCAGCATGGAGAGATACTCTAAAAGAAGATAAAATGTTACATTTGAAAAATTTTATTGATTGGTTTGAAGAAGCTGCAAAACTTACACAAGTACCACCTTTGGCTTTATGGTACAGGGTATACAACGATGAAAAATTTATTACAGAAATGGAAAAAGTTATGAATGAATTATTACCATTTTATAAGAAACTCCACGCTTACATAAGATATTCTTTGCTTAAAACTAAAGGTAGCGAAATTATTTCAGCAGATGGATTAATTCCAGATCATTTAATTCAACAAGTCTTAGCACAAAATTGGAAGAGAAAAAATGATATTGAAATTCCATTCCCTGAAGATCAACTTGTGCAATTAGATGAAAAAATCAATGAAAAAAATTACGATGCACTAAAGTTTGTTCAAATTGCCAACAACTTTTATAAATCTATTGGCTTTGAAGATCTACCACAGTAAGATTTTTATCAAATTATAATAATTTTTTTTATTTAAACAAAATGTGATTGTAGAAATTTCTGGGCTGATTCATTTAAACCAATTCCACAAAGTATTGAAAAATCAAATTGTCGGGCTGAAATATTTGATGAAACTCCTTCACCATATATTAAATATTGTCAACATACAGATTTTCGTAAGTTTTTGCAAATTCATGGTTGGTTGGCACCTATTCACTACGCTTATCAAAAGAAAGATTTACAATTCGCGTACTTTCAATCATATAAATTTGCAAGTCCTGTTGGAGAGGCTGTAATTTTATCAGCTTCTACACCAAAATATTTAGATGAGTTAGATATAATACCAAGTTCTGAATACACTGAAAAGCAATTCATTAATCGATTATTCAAAATGGTAATATAAAACTTATACTATTAAATTTTCAATATATTAAAGGTGGGTAAAATTTTAGGGTGTTCATACTATGTTCAATATACCAATGTTTTTCGTTCATTCCAAAGTTATAAATGATCTTTTATCAAAAGAAATACAAATAAATCAAGTTAACGATCACTACTGGCAATTAATGGCAAAATATGCTGGAATATCCCCTCCTATTCAAAGGCCAGAAGATTCAATGGATTTTTCAGATAAATTTTATCAAGATTTAGAAAATAATTTTCATACCAAGTAAGTTATCCGAAGCTATGTAAATATGCAAGAATATAAAAAAAAGTTGACTATATTTTTTTTATTGCAGTAAATTTGTAACTGAAATCGTAGGTTATCAAATTTATAGAGGTCTTTGTGAAAAAAGTGGAAGATATTCTGAGAGCGATCCGTCATTACCTCTACACAATTGTAATTTTTATAAAGCTCCAGAAGCAGGCGCAGCTTTGAAAGAAATGATGAAAATGGGATCAAAGAAGCCTTGGCGTCAAGTATTAAAAATTGCTACAGGTGATGACAATGGTTTGTGTGCCAATTCAATGTTAAAATATTATGAACCCTTGTTAACGTGGCTAAATGAGGTCATCACACTTCAAGGTATTTCTGTTGGATGGGCGTAATGATAAATTATAACTTTGAACAAAAAATACATTTAAAATTTATGAAAATTTATAAAATTATGAACCATAAAAATTTAATTATTCATCAAAGATTAATAAAGCAAATAAAATTAAATGCAAAATTTTCAACATAAAACTTGAAACAAATAGGACTGATTATGTAGTCTTCTCCCTAAACTTACTCAACATTTGAACCTAGATCCGAAAGCCAACTTAGGCTAGTCAAAGAGAAAATTTCATGATTTAGATAAAATAGGTGTCATTTAAAAAATAAAAGGTTACATAAAAAAGTAAAGGAATAGATGATACCTCAAAATTGATACATATTCTTTCCCGAAACTGCAGAATCCAGCGAAAAATAAGATAAAATTCAGACTAAAGTCCTTATGTAAGTACACGTGCGAAATGAAATTTTAAGTAGATTTAAGAAAGTTATTTTCGTAAAATAACGATAGACCCAATCCTGAGGGATGTTGTTAAACTACCCAATCACTTATAAATGCCAAAATCCACATCAAATTAAAAGTTAAGGAAAATGCCTATTTTAATAAACTTAAAGTGTATGCATTAATTATTCTAGCTACAAAAACCAAAATTATTTAGAAAAATTAGATGTTTAAATTTAAAAAACGATAATAGAATGGTAAACAACTGATATCATATGTAAGATATGTATGTAAATATATATGGTTATGTACATTTTTCTTAAAAAACACATTTTGTTTTAACTCAAATAAATATGTAAAAATTAAACATTTGTCTGTGATTTATTGTAAGTTACATACCTGAAATGAAGTTAGTTCCACGCAACTTCTCTCGAAAAGTTGTTATATTAAAATCTTTGGGAAATTTAATTTCCTCTTCTGTATCTTCAATGATTGCGGGAACATGTTCGTTGTCTATTTCCATAGTACTTTCGGCCTGATTTTCTTCAAGAGCATGGTTTTCAATCCCTTCATTTGAATTTTCCAAAACTTTTACGCGTTTCGCCTTTTTTCCATTTTCGTTTTGAGTAGTTTTCACTTTTCGTTTTTTTGATTTATTTTTATTTGTATTCATAGTCATACTGAGTAAAATATAAAACTATTTACTTTTAATCTTAAGAACACATGTTCGCAACGACGAACGGCAATGTGCAAGCCTTTTATTTACATTTAAATTCGAATTTTGACATATATAAAAAAGTCAAAAAAGACATTTCATGTGTGAATGTCGCTGCTAACGTAATAAAATGTTAAATTAAACATTTTTGACCCTTCAAATCTTCAAATAAACCTTAACTAATTGAGTTTATACTGCAGCCAAAATAACCTAAGTTACTTTTGCTAATGCTTTACATTTTAAAGAGAATACAAAGCAGATAAATATATCTATTAATATTAAATATTGATAATTATGTGTAAATTATATGCAATTTAAATTTGCTAAATAAATATAAATTTAATTTTAGTTAAAAAACCAATCAAATTGTTCTTCAAATAATTCATAAAATCAAAAAATTTTAATTCAAACCAAAATTCTTATTCAATGATATTATCATATTTGTTAGATAGATGGGAAAAATTGTAGAGTCTTAATACAGAAACAACAATAATTAATCTTTAAATTTAAATATCAAAAAAACATATACATAAGTGTCTCTTTTTTATTTATTTTTATTTTTACTTCACAATGGGTTTGGTTTTCCCAGCATTTTCCAACTTGAAATATAAAAAACTTTTAATATAAAAATTTGACACACTTTTATTTGTCAAAAAGCATACATCTAACATGTCAAAAGATCTTTGCATCCCTGAAAATACCCAATAAACAAAACATGAAAAATGTCATTAATGTAAATATACATACATGAATATATTTAGAAATAGAATTTTAATTTAGAGCAAAAGCAAATAAAACAAAAGCAAATAAAACAAAGGCAAAATTAAATATTTCATTATAGAATTCGTACATATTAACCATTTGCAACATGTCTGCGGTAAATATTTATTTTATTCTTATAAGTTCTTTTTGAAAATTGATCATTTTTTTAGGCCGTTTTTTTACAATATGATGATAATGATAATTCTTCGAATTCGTCTTTTGAAGAATTAGATCAACAAAATCCAAACCAAAATTTTGAGCTAATTGCAACACCTCTATCAACATCACCTTTATCTGATTTAACAGAATCTACAGAAATGTTATATCCAAAAGTTAACGAAACTGTATTTTTAAAATTTTTGCTAAATGCAGATGATCAAATATTTCTTCAGTATGTTCGATTGTCAAAACCTACTTTTGAATCTTTACTTAAAGAATATAAAAAGTTTCGGCATGTAAAAGATGAGTCATTGAATGTCAATTTACGTCTGGATCTATTAATATTTCTGTATTATCTTGGAACACAAGAAGTTCCACTCGAACATATAGTCGAGAAATTTGATAGAACACCCGCAGCTGTTGTCCAAGCTATAATTTCTGTTCAAGAATTAATTATTCAGAAACTTCTTCAAAATTACATAACATGGCCTAATAGTATTTCAGAACAAAAAATGTTATCAAAAGAATTTCAAAGAATTTATAATTGCGGTCCTGGTGTAATAGGAGTTTTGGGTTCGACATCTTTAATTGCAACAGAATCCGAGAGTGATTCAATTGGAAGTTTAATATTTCAAGCAGTAATTGACAGTAATCTTATTTTTCGAAATATTGAACTCAGTGAATTAGGTGCAATAGATGAAATTGAAGTTTTAAAGAACAGCTCAATTTATAAAAATATGTGTACTAATGTTGATGATATTAGTACTGGACAATATGTATGCCATCAAGGCAATTTTATACATTTCGTTTCAACTGCTAGTTTACCTTATGTTGAATTGGAAGGTGAAAATTGTAATTGGTTGAAAGAGACCACATATAATGATCAACATACTGCTGGTATAATGACAGCTAGCAAAAATTTTGATAATTTGATTGAATCCGTATTTGAAACTTTAAAAGGACGCTTCCCACGACTTGGAAATTTGGAAATATCATGGCGAGGATTTCAATTAAGACCATCAGATATGATAAAATGTGCTGCTGTTTTATCAAATTTTTGTAAGAACCGTGACGATTATCTTTAAAGGTTAATAATTTTGTTTAATAAATTGTATTAATGAAAAGTGAAATTGTATTAAAGTGTGAATCTCAAAAGTTCAATTCTTACTGAATTAATTAATATTATCCTAATATAAGAATTATAATTATTATATAAATAAGTAAAATACGAAACGGAATACAATATTATTCAATTATTTTTTTTTTTTTTGGAATTTCCATTTGTGAAATAATTTAGTAAGTAAGCTAAAATATATATAGGATATAAAATATGAAAAAAGTTTTAAAGTTTTGATTAAATGATAAGAATGAAATATAAAGGATATTCTTTATATTTTTAATGAATGGCAATTTTTGAATATTTATCATATCTTTTAAATAATATAGGAGCTTAAATGTTAAAAGAATTTTAAAAATAAATTATGTATATTATTGAAAAATCGTTAAAACAGTTTGTGTTCCTCTCCATTTTTAAAATCTTTAATTTTTTCCTAATTATTAAGTATATGCATTTCAAATTGCAATTATAAATAAACGATATTTTTAGAAATAAATTAAACGTACTTTGAACTTGGACAATTCTATAATGAAAAAAATTAAAGTACTTCACATTCATGTATTATGTACATACATATATGTAAGTATGTGCTGTTCAAATAAAAACTAAAAAAAAACAAAGGTTATTCACCTAAAATGTGAATTATTTTTATAAAATAAATTCCTCCTATTTCACGTCTGTTTATTTTTTTGCTCTAACTAAACTTGTCACTAAAATTGTTGGACCTTGAAATGCGAATGCATTAGTTCTTTTGTTTTATGAAAAATTTCTTCCAGTATTTTTGATGCATATCTACAATATAAATGTACATATATATATACATACTTAATCAATAAATGAAATAGCAATGAACAGCAATGAATACATATTTATTTATCTATTGTATTACCTGATATTACTCTAATCTATAAATATTTCATAAAAATCAAAGCTATCAATTTGTGCACTGAAAAATCTTTTTTCTCATATCTAAATATTGCATGTACATATGTATGTAGACATGTATGTAAGTACCACACAAAATTTCTTTTGTCTTCTTCCAAAAATTGATTTAATTCTGTCGTTTCCGTTTGTTTGTGTGTTTCACTATTTTTAACGATGCATAACGTTTTAATAGTTTTTTCCTCTTGTAATTCAAAGCAAAATGCTTTTTTTATTTTATTAATTGAATTATTATAAGACAACGATTATTTTTGTAACATGTTTGTATAAATTTACAATTCAATTTTAAGTACGTTTCTTGAAATATTGTTCACGTATATTTTCTTGCGTGTTAACTAAATAAATATGCAACTGTTATTCTTCTCTCAGTATGGTATTTTTAATGAATTGATACAACTAAATGCAAAATTAAGTACATATACAAAATGTATGTACCTCTTAAAATTATCTTATTGTTTTTAAACCCTCTTTTGTTTTAATCATTAATAAATCATGGCTATATTATTTGTACATTTTTATTTAAATTGAAAAAATCAGACTAAATTCAAATCAGTTATTTAATAACAAACTTAGTTTTTGGATCTCTTGCCGTGAAAAATGTTTTCTAAACAGAAATTCCTTTTAATAATATTGATTTATATTACCATTATTACGAAAATAACTTTAACTGAAGAGACAACAGAAAATTATCATCAAAAACAACAAAAATTATATGAAGGATGGATGCAAACTACACAAAATTTAATAAAAAATCAAACTGGAATTAAATTATTTCAGATTGCTAAAGAATTATTAAGTCGTTCAGGTGGTACAAGTCAAGTGTTAAGTTTAAATTTAAGCAATGTATTTTTATTACTTTTGCTTAAAGTTTTAATTATAATAGCTGGATTATTGGGTACTGGTCATTATGGATATTCAGGTTATGGTTACGGACGATATTCTGCTAGAAGATCAATTGAAAATGTATACGATATCCATGAAAATTGGTTTACTAATATAGAAAAAGATTTATATAAAGGATTTTTTATTGCAAGAAATTTTGGAGACTATAATTGTTTAGCTAAAGCAATTTGTGAAAATCCAAAGGTTGCTAAGCAATATACGCAAGCAAGTCGGGCTCTATTAAATGGAATACAAAAATTTTCTGGTGAAAATGTAAACAGTTATCCAGAATATGAAAATTTAATTGCTTTCTTTGAAAAAACTTCGAAAGAAAATTTTACAAATGTTGAGTGTGGCGAACGTTTTACCTGCATAATATAAAAATTATGCATTTACAATATGTAAGTATGTACTATATTACATAGTCTATGTAGGGACTAGATAAAAAAAACCTATCAAAAATTTTATAATTTTAAAGTTCTTAATTAAGAATTATTTAATATTTATACATACATACATATGTATGTATATGTATGTATGTAAATATTCAATTTGTTAATAAATCACGGATGTTAAAAGTAGTGTAGCTGCATATATGTATAGGTACATGAATGTAAAGTTTAAATAAAATAACGATACCTACTATGTTGAATAAAATAGTTTTATTTGAATTAAAGAACTAATACAAAAAAAAATTTTTAGATTGAGATGATTGAAAAGGTACAAAATTAAGACTGGATCAAATGTCGGATCCCGGTATTTTAATTATGTAACGTTCATACTAATACAAGTATAAGAATATTGTAATTTGCAAGCCTTTGAAAATTTCATTTTTAATAATCAAACGTAAAGTTTTTGACCTAGCTTGGCAAACACCCCTGACATTTTTTTAAATGACAGCAGTTGTCAAAACGTCTGTTAACAAATGTAATATTCGTTGCCATCGTGTACTGTGTTTATTTTGCGCCTTTTTGTATTAAGGTGCCTTTTGAAGAACAATATTGAAATATTATTCGTGTAAATAAAAATATGGATAATAATTTCACTGAGCAAGAAAAAACTACAAAAAAGCTGGTCCAAGCAAGATTACCTTTTAAAGTTTTATCCACAGTTGAAAAAAATAAATTAGTTGTAAATTCGGGGGGGAAATTAAAATCAAAAGATTTAAATTCAGTTACAGAAAGTGAAGTAGATGTTAAAGATAGTGAAGTAGATTCAAAATTGAACAATGATGAAATCATTATTTTATCTGAAGAGGATGAAGACAACGAAAGAAATAAGGATTCAGAGAAATGTGAGAATAATACTAAAAGTAAGACTCCTGATACGAAGCCAAAAGTATTTATTAAACTGCCTTTAAGTTCAAAAAAGAAAAGAAAATCAAGTGCATCTAATTGTTCATTTGATGAAGAAAAAAAAAGTATCCAAGATAAAGCAGAAAAACATTCTCCAAAGGTTGAATCAAATCCTCATAAAAAAGTTAAAATATCTGATTCTATTGCAAAACCAGTATATGATTCTACACCTATTATAAATTGTAAGTCCTCAAATTCAACAGAATTTAATTCTAATAACAACGAACCTACATCAAATTTAATCTGTGATAATTCAAAAACACCTGAAGCTATGGAAATCAATTCAAGTAATGGTATATCTCAGTATTGTTTTTGATAAATATTTTTGTTGAATTTTTTTTTTTTTTAGAGTTGCAAAAAGTAGAACAGTCTCCCTGTGTATTGAACAACAGTACTAATTTAGAAGAAAAAATACCTATACCAGAATCTGATAATTTCAATGAAAATGCTCAAGACAAAGAAAAAGAGTTAAAATGCGAAGCTACGTCGGCAGACTGCGAGGATGTAAATTTAGGAAAAGAAAAAAACAAATCTGATGTAGGCCTACTTTCCGACAAGAACAATGAAAGCTTTGAAACTTCTATGATGGATACTACGACTTTAGAAGAATCAGAATTAGAGTCCAGCTCCTCGCAAGAAACTAACGAAGATAAAGATTTAATCCCAGATACTAAAACTTTGAAAGATCAAAATGTTGAATCAGATACAAATACAAAAAAACTAAATGTTTCGAAGCAAAACAGCATAGCCAGATCTTCAAGAAGTGAACAAAAACGAAAAGAAAAAGAACAAAAACGGAATCAAGAGAGAATGGAGAGGGAAGAGAAACGTCGAAAAGAAAAAGAAGAAAAGGAGAAAAAACGTTTGGCAGAAATTGAAGCAAAAAATGAAGAAAAGCGAGTTAAAGAAGAAGAAAAGCGTTTGAAGGAAGAGGAAAAACGTAAGAGAGAAGAGATGAAGGAAGAGGACAGAAAAAGAAAGGAAGAAGAAAAACGTAAGAAGGAAGAGTTGAGAGAGGAAGAACGAAAAAAACGAGAGGAAGAAAAACGAAAAAAAGAAATGGAGAAAGAAGAAATAGAAAATAAAAAAAGAAAAGCCGCTGAAGTTTTTACAAAATTTTTCGTACCACGTTCGAAAGGAGTAGAAGACGGAAACTTATCTTTTACTGAAAAAAAAGAAAACGTTAACTTCATGCCGTTTCAAATTAAAGATGATATGAAGCTAGCCCCAATTACCAGGACACAACTAAATGTTGAACAAAAGAATGTGATTGACGAGTTTCTACAAAACGATAAAGACATCCCTTACTCTGAACTCTACACAGGAAAACTTAAATCTGGCAATTATAATCCAATGAAAAGTGAGAGAACTTTTCCAAAAATGGAAGATGACGATGATATAATTATTATTGACGAAATGCATGGTATCACTCAATATCTAGATGAAACTTCAAAAAGTTTAAAAAAATACAAAGCAAAATTTTTACTATTTCGCGAAAATAGGAGACCTCCATATTATGGAACATGGAGAAAAAAAAGTTCAACAATCACACCCCGTAAGCCATTTGGAATTGATAAACAGATATTTGATTATGAAATCGATTCTGATTTGGAATGGGAAGAAGAAGAACCGGGTGAATCTTTAAGTTGTAGTGATGATGAAAAGGAATCTGAAGATGACTATGAAGTTGATAACGAATTTTTCGTTCCTCATGGTCATTTGAGCGATGAAGAAATGGAAGAAGAGGACAAATCTCCAGAAGTGCTGAAAGCCAAGTTGAAAATTTTACAGCAGGAATTTGCTTGCGAAATGAAAAAGAAAACTGAAAAGATTAAACCTCGTCTGATAGGGGTTGTATGGAGTAATAAGGACTCGACGAAACCGGAAACTTGTCCAAATATTGTATGGGAATTCCTAAAACAACAAGAAATGATTTTTAAAGACAAAGTTAGTATTTCAATTCAAAAGGACAACTCTGGTGAAACCTCATCACCTGTACAACAAGAAAAGCAAAAATTAAACAAACGATCTGAATTACCAGAAGAATTTACCGCACCTCTAATAAAACTTGTTCACGGAAATACAAATAATAAATTATTTATAATTAAAGAATTTCAAGCACATTTATCAAGACTAGATTCCAATTCAGAAAATATGCATTTTACAAAATCTTGTATTAAAGAAAAAATTGAAAAAATGGCACAGTGGAAGGTCATGAAAAATAAAAATTTAAATAAGAATTTTCTGTGTTGGGCGGTATCAGATGAAAATTTGGAAAAATATGGCTTAGCAGATTTAGATATAGAAAACAAATGGAAATATATTATACCACCAAAAAACAAAAGAGAAATTGTTGAAACTGAAGAAATAAAAACTCCTAAACCAATAAATAAATCAAATGAAAATACTTCTGTCATCACAAAATTTACAAAAATTTTAACAAAAGAAGAAAAAGAGGAATCATTGAGCAATAATAAAGATAAAAATATAAAATCGTTAAAGAAAAGCTCTCCCACAATTGGAAAAATAGATGGATCAAAAGTAACCGATGAAATTAAACCCAATGCAATGAAAAAACGTGTTCCGATATTATATTCGGTACCCCGGGGTCAAAATGTACCTGAAGCTTCAAAAAAGATTGTTGTTGATGATTATTTAAAACAACAAAACAAATCTTCCACTTCATTGCCTCATAGTACTATCAATGTTCCCGAAAATGATGATTGCATTGTTCTGGAATAGTTTAATATTCTATTGTGTATTGTTAGAAATATTTATATGTATGATGGGAATTTGTATTATTCTTATTCAATTTATCACTTAAGGATTAGATTTTTAGTTTGAAAATAGTCTTTCTTACTTTCAATTTTAAAGATTAATACAGTAATAAACACTATTTTCCAAAAAAAAAAAAAAATTTTTATTTAGAATTATTAAAATACAAATGTTTAAGCAAGAAGTTTTACGTATGGCATAAACAGAAGTTAATTTAAAAATTCTAATAAATTTATCCAATATATTTTTATTCAATTTATTTTCCGAATTTAAAATGTATAAGAAGAAAGTATTCAAATATTAAATTTTTTTTATTTATCAAAGAGAAATCAACAAGATCACTAAATTAACATAAAAAAAAATCTTACAAATCTGCAGAAATCGAATATTTTACTTTTGTAGATTTTTTAATTTTTCAATATCCAATATTTTTCTATTATGCTGCCCCTTCTAGTTCATAATAATTTTGCAGTAGCTTTGAAAAAAAAACTTAAAAAATTTCTTTAAAATTTTAAGCATGACAGGCTTAAAATGTGCCTGGAAACACAAATTTGGAGATCTTCACGCAATTTAATTAAATTTCAAATGTTCATTTAAGAAAAGTTCAGAAATTTCGAGTAATCTTCCAAGTAAACGCCTTTAATAATTTTTAGAAATTTTTGGTTTACTTTTGTTTTAAATTCGTAATGCGAGATGAGACGGTGGCCTACCCGCAACAAAAATATTTCGAAAGGAGTGCTATGGCCTCGGCGGGGTCGATTCCCGCAACTTAATGCGGTTACACTACTTTAGTTTTTTCAAAAGGCTGATAAAGGTGAGGATGAGAATCACAAAAGATCTTATGGGGCGATGTGAAAAGAACCCCGGTCAAAATATATTAAAAAAAAAAAAAATAATAATTTTTATATTTTTTGTTTCATTTCTTTTTTATTAATAATATTATTTACAAGTAAAAGAGGGCTGAGAACATTTTCATTTCTTTCCTTTTCGGTTTCTTTTTTTTTTTTAAATTTTTTTAATTTTTTGTCAATATCTAATTTTTTTTTTCTTGTTTTTTTATTTCTCAAGTAATAATGTTTGTTCAAATGTTTTTTTTTTTTTCTTGTTTGCTTTTTCTTCTTCCTGTTAATTTAATAAAAATTTGAATCTTCTTACTTTTTGTTTATTTTTTTTTGTTTTTTATTTTCTTTTTTGTTTTATTAAAAATATTGTTCATTTCCAGTTCGTTAATATATAAATTAAATATTAATATTAATTTTAATTTATATCAAGCTTAAAATTTTCACAATCTTTTATACTTATTATTTCATAATATATTTTATAATATTTTATATGCATTTTAAAAGTAAAAAAATTAAAAAAAAAAAAAAATTTTTTTCTTTTTTTAAATAGAATTAAAAAAAATTAAGTAAATAAATTAGTTACTGCTAGGTTTTTTTTAAAAAAAAAAAAAAAAAATAATAAATTTTTATTTTTTCAAATTTACAATTTTCATTTCATTTAATTTATATTTTATTCATTTTAATGAAATGAATTTACAAAAAAAAAAAAAATAAAATCATATAAAACGATATTTTTAATTTCTATTTTCTTAACTGCTTTATTTATCATCTACTATAATTAAAATAAATTGTTAATAATTTCATTTAATATTGGGTTTTCATTAAATAAATTCTAGAATAGTTCTATGTTGTAAAACATTCGAAAATTGTATGTATGTGTTATACACACACTGAAAATAAGAAAATTATTTGTTGTAATAAAGTGTGTTCAGAAATTTATTCTATATAATAGAAAGAAATATTAGAAATGTGAAACAGACAACTATTTTAAATTTTTGTGCTGCCCCATGAGATTTTTCTTTTTTTTAAATTTAAAAACTTTAAAATTTTAATTTTCTTGACATTATAATTTTTGTAATTTTCGAAAGACTGATTATGTATTTACAATTTTCATGCAAAATGCAAAACGCTTAAATACAAAAACTAGAAATTAAACATAAGAAATAGAATTGTTTCATGTTTTAATGTAGAATTTTCAGTGCAATATGCACAAAATGAAAACGTTTTTAATTTCAAAAATTGTCTTCCATATTGTTTCAGTAAATTTATTTTTAAAATTTTATTTTTTATATTATATGATTTAAGAATTCAGATATAAACAATATTTCTTTTGATATTTCCTTTTTAATTATTTTAAACATTGTAATCTCCGTGAATTCGAAATCAATTTCGAAATTTTAAATTATATACTGAATACTAAAATAGTTATTACTGAAAACTATCAGTACAATTAGTATAATCTAATTACTTCATCATGCCTACCACACAACCAGAATTGTGATTAATTGATAATATATTTTAATGTTTTCAAAATTTGACTTTATGAAATTTAACTTGGTTTAAATTTTAAATTAAAATAAATATAAAAATTTATTTTCTTTTATTTACTATTTCTTCTGAAAAAAAAATAATTTTTATAACAATTCATTTTAATTTAAGTAGATAATAAGTTTTTTTTTTTTTTTATTTTTTCTCTTACAATTTTGTTTTTTTATTTTTTTTTTTCCCCTATTTGCTTTTCAAAAATTAACACATATTAAAAAAATTTCGTAAATGTATTTAAATAAAAAATAAAAAAAAAAAAAAAAATAAAGTAATTATTAATCAGTCCTTAAATATTTTATATAATATTATTCACACAAAATATTTGTTTTTATTTTTATTATTTTATGTATATATATATATATATATATATATATATATATATATATGTATGTATATATATATATATATATATATATATATATATATATATATATATATACAAATTTTTATATTTCATTCAATTCATTTACAGAAGCCTAAATTAGTGATTTATAAAAAAAAAAATGAATTTTTTATTTAAATAAATTGCATTATTGAATTTAAAAAACTTCTTTACACAAAATATTTTTAAAAAAACAAAAAATATATTTTTTATTTTGTATATATTAATTAGATTTAAATAAAATGGAAGAAACATTGATTTTTATATTTTATTTAAACTATTGCTTTTTTTCTTTCTATTTTGTGAAAATTTTTAAGAAATATTGAAGAACAAAAAAATATTTGAAAAGATTAAAAAGTGCATTTATTTTTATATTTAGATTTTTGTTTTTTTATTTGCTAAATTTAATTTTTTCATAATTAATTTTTAATTTATAAAAAAAATTTTATGTATAAATTATATTTATTTGAAATTCTTCTACTTTATTTAAGTAGGAAAAAAAATATTTCAATATTTTAATTTGTTTTAATAATAATACTATAAATTTTTTTTTAATTGTATTTTATTATGTGCTTTTTTATTTAAATAAAAATATTATATTTAAAATATTTGTATTTGAAGGAATTATAAATGGTGGTATTATTTGTGTTATTTTTCAAACTAATATATATATATATAAAAAACTAATTTGGACTTCAATAAATATATTCGAATGAATATAAGATTCATTTTTATAAATAATTTGTAATGTTAATAATGTTGATGTTTTTTTAACAACGAAATATCATTACAATAATTGTAAATTTTTTTTTTTTTCTTGTTTCTAATTAATATTATTATGTAATTTCATTTTTAAGCAAAATGTTTAATTTAAACACTGGAAAAAATAGAGAGAAAATTTAAAAAAAAAAAAAAATAATAGTAAAAATAATTTAATACATAATTTAAAAAAAAAATCACTCATAATCACTTTTATTCAATTATTTAAATTAAAATATATATTGTATAGTATGTACTTGTTTTTGTTCATATTTCAAAATGATTTTAATATTCAAAAAATGTTGAAGAAATTTTGGTTTTTTTATTGATGTTTCAGATTTGTTGATTTTTTTTTATTCCAAAAACAACAAAAAAAAAAACATTAAAGGAAAAGAGACAAAAAAAAAAGTATAATAAAATTAAAAAAATATATAAATTAATTAATAGTAATTATTAGTAATTGCAATGTAAATAAAATTGAAATTTTTACATTACAAAAATTTAAAATTACTTATGTGAAAAAAAAAAATTTAATAAATTTTCATTACATTAATTTTTAAATAATTAACCCTTCTGACAAATGCGTATTCCAATTAATGAATACAAATTTCAAAAATATCTTGAAAATTTCTGAAAAATATTATAAAAAAACAAAAAATAGAGAAAATTTTAAAATTTAAATTTTTAAATTTTAAGTTACTCCGAACACAATATTTAATTCATAAACAAATAACATCCAATTATGTTATTATTTAATAAATAAAATCAAAAATATATAAAAAAAAAATAAAAATATTGTTGCGATTTATTTAGCGGCAAAAGAAATTAGAGCAAAATTAAAATTTGAATACAAAAAAAAACAAAAAAAAAAAATAATTTTAAGATCTCGTATTTTGATAACTCTATAAATTTGTATAATCATTTAAAAAAAATTTTAAAATTCGAACTTTTATATTATTTTAATTGAGTAAGAGAAACTTATAAATGTACCTAATAAATAAAATCACATTAATTTTAAATAATATTCAAATAAATTTTTCAATTGTAATATTCGAAGCAATTCCTAAATTCGAATTAAATTTTGGAAGTGAAAAAAAAAGAAAAATTGAATTAAAATATTGTAAATTTAGAAAAAAAAAAATTGATAAATTAAGAAAATAAAAAAAAAATGCTGAGAATAAAAGTGTAAAATGTAAATTTCTACTTTTATCTATTTAAATTTTGCTATATTTTTCATTAAAAAACATTGCAATCAAAAAATATTTTTTCTTGTTTTTTTTTTTCTTTTTTTTAAATTTTATGGCAAAATTTTTTTTGATATTTATTAAGATTTTATTTTTTTATTTTTTTTTTGTCTCTTATTGATATTGGTTTTTTTCTTTGCATTTTCAAATTTATTTGATTATAACTTTTAGTTAATGTTATTTTTTTTTGTTTTATTAAATTTTTTGCTCTAAATAAGTATTTAAAATTTTTTTTTTTTATTAGTAAACACTTTTTTCCTTTTAACGGTAATGTCGTCAAGCATCTGTTCCACTAACCATAGAATTTTTCGGTGTATATGCTGTTGCATTTGGATCTAAATTGGATGATGTTTGACCACTTGAAGCAACTTGAATATTACCAACAACATTATTAGTAACATTTGAATTTTGTGAACTATTTGTTATTGAGTTCACATTGGTAACAGTGTTTACAGTGACCGAAGTTGATGGTGAAACTGATGATCCATTTACTGTTGTTACATTATTGTTAACAACAACACCAACATTATTTGCTGCAACAACTGATGTTGGCCCACCTCTTGAATTTAATGGATGATTTGATGCCATAATTTGTTGATGTGCCGTACTAAGAGATAGCATTGGACTGGATGGACCTGTTGTTGGGCATGGTGAGGATAAACATAAATTATCTGATGGCATTATAGCTAATAACTGTGCTATTTTTGCTTTCAAGTCAAGGACTTCATTATCTTTGTTTCGTATCAAACCTAAAATAATATATATATACATAAATTTTTTTTTACAATTAACTTAAATTGCGTTTATTAAGAACAAAATAGAAAAAATTAACATACTGTCTTTAATTTCTAGTTGACGTTTCGCTTCTCCTAAAGCCGAGAACAAGTCCAGCTTGACTCTCGTCTCTGCAGATAAATTTTTTTCCAATGTACTATTTTTATATTGCATATCAGCTAATGCTGAAATAAGACGTTCTGTTCCCTGCTGTGCTTCCCTATTTCTGACTTCAGCCTCAAACATTCTCAACTAAAAATATTTGTGTTTAGAAATTTGATTAGGTTAATAAGAAAATTGTATATTTACATCTTGTTCATATTTTCTGCTCTGTTGTTCGGCCGTCTGTTTCCCTTCTTCTGTAGATTTTAATTCCCTTCGTAATTGTTTTATTTCGGTTTCCAGTTGTTGTTTTCTTTGTTTGCATACATCACCACATTCTGATCTAGTGGCTTTTTCTTCAGCAGTTTTTCTTGCTTTTTTCTCATTATTTAATTGGGCCTCCAAAGATTGACGTTGTCTACGTTCTTCACTTAAACGCCTTTCAACATTTTGTAAGTTCATTAAATCAATTTGCCTTGTATTTTGCATTTCATGTAATCTTTTATCCAGTTCATCACATTCCCTCTGTTTGGCCTGCAAACAAGATTTGGTTGTGACATTTGAATCCAATTTTTGTCTGAGTTCATTCTCAATTTGTTTCATGTGACTAATTTCAGCACGGTATTTTTTCACCTCAGCTTCAAGTCGAAAGCATGTGTCACATATTTTTGTAACTATTTGCGAGGCTAAATTTGTTATTGTTGCCGATGCTGTTGAAACAGCTGAGGATGATGTAGATGAATTACTTGATGTATCAGAATTACCATGGGAATCCTTTGAATGATGATGATTGTTATGGTGATGATAAGTATTGTTGCTAGTGTTGTGGTTATACGATGTATTGTTGTTATTGCTGGAACTATTATGATTATGATGATTGTCCTTTGTAGAAGCATTGTTATCACCGCGTTTAGAACGAGCTTTCCTACCTAAAAGTTCAACACAAATAAGTTCATCGTAGTAAAAAGAGACTGAAATTAATTGCAAAACTCAAAACATAATTTCAAAATGGTAATTTGTAAACAATATTCTCAAAGATTCAATGGATAATTCGAGTTTAATACAAATACATAATACAAAAAAAAATGAAAACGTGAAACCACAATTTTTCTAATTAAATGCATGTTTATGAATAACTCAGATTTAGTAAGTCACACTTCCATTTTTATAAGCTGAGTCATATGTTTGTATAATTTAATTTTTGATAATGAAATTTATATTTTTATAATGAATTTGTATAAAAGTTATTTATAATTGTTATAAATTTTAGTACAAAATATAAATTTACACATTAAAAAATTAAAGCAAAATCAAAAAATTTGTTTCCTAGTATACTACCTTTGTTTTTCTCGGGTGGGTCCGCAATAACTGCAACCTCTTCGATTTCAAAATGTAGTAAATTGCCATTTTGTTGATTGGATTTTATTTTACCATGGCTACTGCTATTTGTTTCCTTTTCTCCAATTCCAGAAGTCGAGCAATTAAAATTATTGTTGCCGGAATATATATTATTAGATGGTGGTCCACCATTTGAAAGCGATTTTCCATTTTCTTTAATATCTGTTTTAATTGAAGATAACGACACTGTTGATGATGAAGACGATAATATACCACTTGATGTTGTCGTAACATCCATCCAATCTGTATCTGAATTTTGTTTTGGATCCTTACAAATTTCATGATAACTATTACCGGAATTCAAGTTTGATGAAACTTTAGAATTTGATTCATATTTTTTATTACTGTCCTTATCAACACTTCTTCGATTGTTTTTACTATTACTGTTATTACTGTTATTATTACTATTATTACAACTTCCATTACTAATATGTCCATTTGATGTCATCACCGTTGAACCATGTGTATTAGCTACTGAAAATTGTGTAGTTGAATTACTTAAATTATTATTTAATTTATTACTTGTTGTAGTTTGAGCTGTTTTATTAGAACTATAATTGTTAATATTATTTATATTATTATGATTTGATAAATAATTTGATGCTGCATTCGCAGCACCTTGGCTGGAAAAAGACAATGTTGTGCTGGGTGCTGTAGATAAGGATGTTGCAGCCGTCGCCGTTACTGATGCTGACGAAGACCCACTTGACGTCGAACTAATCGATGTTGACAACATTTGACCTATTTGAACATCTGATGTGTGATGATAAATATTACTATTTGAAGAATTATCAGCTATAACAGTTGATGATGAATGATGATGGTGATGATGATTAATTAATGAGGAGTTTGTTAAAGATGAATTTGATGATGATAACAATGATGAATTTTGCGAGATTTGAACTTGTTGTGCTACTGGTATTGCACCAATTAATTGCCCTGCCGTTGAGCTCGTTGAACAGTGCAATATTCCACCATTTTGGTGATGATGTTGCTGTTGATTTTGCTGTATATCATCACTGTTGGCTTGTGCATTACTGGAAGAAACTGGTTCATCCTGTGGCAATGCTTGTTGAAGCAGTTGCATATAAAATTCATTTTCTTTAGCTACTTCCCGCTGCTTGCGTTGTCTCATACGATATCCTATATAACTTTTAAATCCAAAACCTAATGTTACTACTGGATAACCAATACTAAAAATAAAATCGTAATTTTAAAATTTTATTTTTAAATAACGTTATAAAATAACTATTTACCAATGCGCTGCAAATGGCCTGCAAAGATCTAAATGTGGCATATGCCGGCTATCCTTCCATCGTATACCCGCTTCTAAATATACAAATAACATCCATAAAATTATCGTTGGCAAACAGATCCCTTTATCTAAATTGTTTAAAGATTCAGACATTATTTTGTTTAACTATTTTACAATTAAAAATACCTGTGTGCCACACATATTGAACCCAGACATACGTACTAGCTGCAAATAATAACCAATGTACTGGGATAAAAAACAAACAAACTAAATCTGACGTTATGGCTATGCATACAAACAATACGGAAAATGCCTGAAAATTAAAGTAATTTTTATGACTTTTATACTGAAACAGGAATTATCTTATTCTTATATTTATAACTTACCAATCCTTTATATTTAAATGAATCGTGGACTGATCGTAGTAAAAGCCAAAATGGCCATAAGAATTCAAATCGGAACATAAACATAAAATCAGCTGTTATCACAATTGCCCAAAGAATCAAAAACTTTAAGTACAGAACTGTAGTGCTAAAAATTTAAAAAAATTGGTGAGTAAATCTATCTATCAATCAAAAAAAGAAAGAGTGAAAAACTGATTGAAAAGTTAATTCTTTGTCAGATTTTTCACTCAAAACGGTCTTACGGACCGTATCAATTTGGTTACTTCAATCGACTTTAAGAGTTATGAATGGTTAGTTATCAAAATTGTTACATAAAACTTAAATTTTAGATTTTTGAAAAATAACTTTTTAACAATTTGTTTATATACATATGTAGTTATAAAAATTTACCTTCCGTACATTCCTTCCGTAATTTTATTACGTTTTATCGGTCGCCGTATCTTGCCACATTCGGCATTTCGCCTCTTCATTATTTTGCGCAATTATTTTAAAATTATTAATTTTTAATTTTATGTTTGTTTTTTTATTTCCAAAATAAAACTTTCAAAAATATTAAATCAAGTTTAAATTTCTTTTTTTATCTCTTTTTTTCTTTCGTTTATAATTTTATCCCAATTTTAAGTAGAAATTTTGATATTTTATACACTTTTCTTTCATTTAATCAATTTAAAAGTAAATTCTATAAATTGTGTTTGATTTTTAATATAAATGAACAAAATATTTTAATTAAAAATATAATATATAAATTTTAAACTTAAGATTTCTGATCAAAGCTAAAATGTGGAGAAATTTTAACTGAATGCTAATTCATTAAATGCAAAAATCATAAAAGTAGGATTTTGTTTTATATGCTTCAAATCAAACATTTATGCATATTATCAAGCAATAAAATTGCTATCCTTACAATAGCTTAGTTACTTTGATACCTAATACGTATTTTACCCAATGGATTAGTATGTGCTTAAATAAATTAGGGGAAAAGGGGGTCAAAACAATTTTTTTTCATAATTTTGGGAAAGTTTTACCGTGCTTGTTAATATGTTGATGAATAAATGTAAAGACTAGTAAAATGGAATATCTACCTACCTCTATTTAGGCAGGTAATAATAGGTTAGTGACTACTTACCCACCAACTTTCAATAAGTACAGAAAATGTATATATGCATTTAATCATGTTTTTAGTTTCTAATACCTAAATGTTTTTTATAATAAACAAATTATGATAGATTTATAAAAATCTAATATTTGCTAGATGGACTTAAATACCTCCTGCCTAACTAGATAGTACCAAGAAAGCAAAAAAAATGTGTATTTCATTGTTTTTACCTATTCAATTTTATGAAATTAATAATTTATCAAAAAATTATTAAATTTTATTAAACAAATATTAAAAATAATTAAAAACTAAAAATATCAATACCTAAATAAGTAGGTAAGGGTAGATAGGTACTACCAAACTTACTGTTACTTAATATAATAAAGTAAAAATATCTTAATTATTTGACTTTAAATGTCCTTATATTAAAAACAATTTATTAATAAATATAATATACTACTATGTAATTAACTAAATATCTACTTAAAATTATAATATTTAATGCACATATTTATATAGATACATAGGTAATAATATATAGGTACTAGTATATTTGTATACGTAATATTTTATTATAAATATATTTATGGATGATAGACAATTATATATATATATATGTATACATTATACGTAATATTGTGTTTAGATGAACAATAAAATGTAATTAAAAACATACAAAATTTTTCTATAGAAAATTCAATAGAAACATTTTTATTCTATGTTTATATATTATTTATGTATGTAATAATTTTCAAAACAAAAACAAAATTTCGTAGCAAAAAATTATTAACAAAAATATAAATTTTTTTTTTTTTTTTAATGTTTACTAAATTTATCTTCCTGGCAACGAATAAACATCTGATTATTATTTTTTGCAAGCAATTTCTATTATAAATATAATTATCTGATTATTGTGTATTGTGTTGTATATCGAATAAAAAAAAAAAAGAGTACCTTCACCTTACTAATGACACAAGACAAGGATTTTTTTTTCTTTTATATTTAAAGTTAGTTTAAAAAACTGTTGCATTGCAGGAGAGATTAAAATTTTCTAATAATAAATATATATACAAATTTTTGTTTCCTTTTTATTATTATTCAAAATTTTTATTAATTCAAAGATTATTTTATAAATTCAAAAATTTTGTTTTTGATTCAAAAAACAAAAAAAAAAAAAATATTTGCAATTTTTATTTTCACAAAATTTATAAATGAACAGGCGACATTCTTATTTTATATGGAATTTGTATACGAATTAGAAAAATTTCTCATCCCCAGGAATCTGCATGATGCAGAAACAGGATGTCAGGATAAAAATGAAAGATATGAATGAAGTCATCTATTATCCTATCCTATAGATATTATAGTATTAAATTAATATTTTAATATATTATGCAGATTTTTATATTTTTATATTCAAATATAATTATATATATTGTTAATATTAATTTAATAATACAAAGTATGATATATTAGAGAAATTATAATAGCTATTTAAAATTTTCTCTCGGAAAAGTCTTTAAAAATATTTTCAAAATATTCAGGAAAATTTTTTTTTTTATTTATTCTACTTGCGTAAGCGGAATAGTTATATGAATAAGATATCCGTCAACACTTTAGAGTGACGGAAACAACTAGAAAATTGAAAACTGAATTTTGATTTTTTTTTTTTTTTTTTTTGCATCTGAAGACGAAGGAGCCAGCAAAACAAATCCTAAAGATAACTTTTCATCATTTTTAACACAAATTTTTATTTAAAAATTTTTTCTTTATTTTTTTTTTTTGTTGAAAAATTTTGCTTTTTTAATATTATAAACACATGAACTTTTCAATATTTAAAAACTATTTTTGCAAATTTATAATCGCCACCAAAGAAAAATTTTTTTCTCAATTTTTGTTAAACAGAATTTTTTTTTTTTTTAAAAAACACACTTATATTCATAGAAAATTTATTTTTTAAATTTTCTTATAATTTATATAATTTAAATTATAAAAAAAAACATATAAAACATTTAAATACTTTTCTAATTTTTTTTTTTTTAAATAAAAAATCCAATATTTTTCCCCGAATCTCACTCTGATTTCGTTTTTGTCGGATTCTACACTCTTTCCATCAAAATTTTTCGTTCCTTCTTTTTTTGACTTTTTCGTTCTTTTTTGCTTTTGCAATATGAAGGAAAAATTGACAAAAATATAATTTGAACTAATTTCTAGCTCTTCTAGCAAATATATTTTCTTATTATTGTTTCATTTATTTTATAAATCTTATTGGCAAACTTGGTACTAAAATGTTTTTTGCAAAATATCGTTTAGAAATTGAAAAATGTCATAATTTGTCAGTGATGACATTTTATATGGCGTATGGGGTTTCATGCAACGCAAGATCAAAGTTGAAACTGCTTTTCTTAATTGTTTCGTTTTTTCAAAGTCAAATCTTATAATTTAGGTAAAGGCACTGCCACCAGACAAAAATTACGAATTACAACGAAATCGAATGTTCTTTTATACATCTGATGTTAGATTACTTTTATAATTCTATCTTAAATTTTAAACTGTCAATGTTTTAAGCGTGTTTTGAATATTATGTATATGTATATTCTATTTGTATTGTCTGCAATTAGTTTGTTTTGAAAAATAATGGAATTTTTTTACATATGTCATCATCACATTACACAAATCATCAAAGATCGGTAACAAAAACAAATAAAGCTCAGCTGATCTCATTTTTAAAAATATTAGCTTTCGTCATATTATTTTGTAAAAGTATGTCAAAAACATCTGTTAAATGTTTTTATTTTTCCATGAAATTCTCAATACATTCTAATTAAGAACACACATAATTAAGAACAACCATATATACTCGTACTTTGCTAGTGCAGATTTTTTGTTATTAAATTTTCATAATTTTTATGAAATTTCCAACACTGAAATTATAAAACATTCATAAAACATACTGTTAAAACTAAAAGCGTTCAAAAAGTAAAAATTGTCATTTGTGACGTTACGCGTCATTCTATCTTCTCTTTTCGTTTGTGGGGCCACCACGTTAGTCGGTTAAATTATTTGTGGAAAATTGCAATTCTCTAAAATATCTTAAAAAATGTCTTTTGGAGATGTAAAAACAGCAAAAGGCTTGGAAGAATTGAATTCTTTCTTAGCAGATCATTCCTACATTGAAGGGTTAGTAGAACTATGATAATTTTATATTAATTGTAATATAGGTTAGGTTTTTTGCACACGCATGCAAACGTATGAGAATTTAAATCTAATGGAAATTTACTGTTTTGTTGCAGTTATATTCCATCAAAAGCGGATCTTTCTGTTTTTCAAGCAATAGGTAAACTCCCAACAGGAAATCTTGTACATGCACAGCGTTGGTAAGTATAAAGAAATTCGTCAAATTGTAAAATTTTCTCTGCTTTTGTGATCAAAGTGGAGTTGATTTTTAAAAATGTACCTACATATGTACCTATGGTACAGATCAAAGCATACAGATTTTTACAAATATTAATTTTATTACGTAGATTAACTAAATTTATTTCATAGGTATAGACATATTGCATCATTTGATAGTAAAGAACAATCCAGTTGGGGTGGTAATGCCCTTCCACAAGCAGCGGGTGGTAATACGACTGTGCCAGATAATAAAGCCGCAGATGACGATGGTAAATTCCTTTAAAATAGCATAAGAAGAAAAAAATATAATAAAGAAAATTTAAAATTTCAGACGACGTAGATCTTTTCGGTTCAGATGAGGAAGATGCTGAAGCTGCAAAAATAAGAGAAGAACGTCTCGCCGCATATGCTGCCAAAAAATCAAAGAAACCTGCATTAATTGCAAAATCATCAGTACTTTTGGATTGCAAACCATGGGACGATGAAACAGATATGAAAGTTATGGAAGAAAAAGTAAGAACTATCGAAATGGACGGCCTATTGTGGGGTGCCTCTAAATTAGTGCCAGTTGGTTATGGTATCAAAAAATTACAAATTATGTGTGTAATCGAAGATGAAAAGGTTTCTATTGATTTGTTAACTGAAAAAATCCAAGAGTTTGAAGACTTCGTACAATCAGTGGATATTGCAGCATTCAACAAAATTTAATAACATATATATTTACTTTTTTTTTTAAATACAATATCCGTTTTTATTTTTTAATGAAAAATGTATTTAAATGCGTACTCATATTAATCACAATTCCAATTAATTTGTTGAAACTTTAAAATTATGTCCACTTGCTAGGAATAAAAGTCGATTTTTTCTAACAAATAATATGGTTTTATTTTATGAATTAAATTAAATACGTTGTGGCAGCTAAAGTGCAATGTGCATTTGAAAATCATTCAATAAATTAAAACCTTGAAAATAGTGATTTGCACACTAGAAAAATAACTTTATTTTTAAAATTTTAAAACTAATGTTGGTTAATAAGTTATGGAAGGGATCAGATTGATGTAAAAAATTGGGTAATTTAATATCAATGGCGCCGTGGCTTAGTTGGTTAAAGCGCCTGTCTAGTAAACAGGAGATCGCGAGTTCGAATCTCGCCGGGGCCTTCAAAACTGTGTTGAATTTTTTTTTTTCGAATATTTTAAGAAAATACATTGTATTACCATGTGCAATAAGCTCCCGGATCCGGAAAAATGTCAGTTATCAAATTAGATACAGCAAGACATCAATGTATGTTTTATTATAATACTAAATTAAATATTTAATGAGGTATCAATTTTTTACTTCTTCCTTATTTAAGGAAATGTGCATACAAACGCCTTTGTGCATAATATGTATGTATATGCATTTTTAATACTATTTTCGTTGATAGTACAGTATATTGTCAAATATTATTTAAAATAAAAATTAAAAAAAAATTTAATAACACATATAATGAGGCCCCGGCGAGATTCGAACTCGCGATCTCCTGTTTACTAGACAGGCGCTTTAACCAACTAAGCCACGGCGCCATGTCGCACTTAGGGTTTAAAGCTTAATTTATTCCTATCTATGGTACGCAACTATAATTTTGCTTGTTTAACAAGCTTATATGCTTTTTTAGAAATATGTAGCTGAATATAGCAAATTTATTTGAAGCTTAAAGCGTCTTATGATAATTTTATAATAATGTTTACAATTTATGTATTTACTTTATGTGTAAGGATCGAAACATAGTTGTTTTAGTTTAAATCATTTATCATGTGCGTTATCATATATTTTATTTCCTAGCGCCTGCCTCTTTTCTTGTAACTAAAATTTTTGACTTTTCTTTTTAGTTAATTTTTTTAGTTTACGTTGCCGCTTCCTGACGAATAAATTATAAACAGAAGAAATGGTTATTAATTGCTCTAAATTATTAAGTTGAGGTATTACAATATTCAATTAGAAAAATTATTCATATATAAGACTAATAATATTTGAAGTTGGTATATACTTGTATGTACATGAAGTACAGAATAATGGAATTATGTATGTGTATGTATTTGGTTACGATTTTCTATTAAATATTTTATTGTTCAAATGAAGTGTATACATTTTAATTTAGATATACTATTCAAACATGTACCTAATTTGTCTTTAAAGTTTATATATCCCATATGGTCTAGTGGCTAGGATAGCTGGCTTTCACCCAGCAGGCCCGGGTTCGATTCCCGGTATGGGAAATTTTTTTTGTAATTTTTTTTTTAATTTATCATTGAATTTTATAAATTTTATTATTAGAATTTATTATTTTATTTTAATATGTATTCCAGCAATTCAATAATGTTGCTGTTTTCGTATTTAAAAACATAAATGAATATGTTTTGTAATGATAAGTCCAAGAAACGTCATTAAAAATTTAAAACCATTTTTGATATCTCGAATAACTGGATGCTTTTTTTTAATGTTAAGCTGACAATGCATTAATTATGTACATCTATACTTAGGCATAATAAAAAAAAATCTATTCATTTACAAAATTGATTTGAATTTAAATTTTTACCTATTATGAAACACTTTCCAATCTTTTCTTCTATATATGTGAACTGTTAATACTAGCTAGTTCTTCATTGTAACTTGTGTATAATATGTAAGCAGTATTTTAACAGCGCTGTTAGAATAAGAAGATTAGCAATTCATTTCTAATTTAATTCACAATTGAATTTAATTGACATTTGGTAGAAGTTTGAAGTTCCAGAAATCAGTGTTGTCAGAATGTAGAATATTATTTGAATATCGCATTATTTACTTAAAATTGAAAAATATAAATATAAAAATTTAATGACCATGTGCGGGCACTGAATATTTATTTAATATTCTAAATTAATATTATGATAGTATAAAATTAATTAATAATTGTCAAACTAATGATAATAAGTAATAATAATAATAATCTGCTAATAAAAAAAAATTATATAATTTGGAGCTTTTGCATATTCTTAAATTTAAATTAAGAATAATTTTATTGAGTATATTATTGAGAACAGAAAATATTCTTATTTTCAGAATTGATATATGTAGAGTATATTATAATATATATAAACACAATTTATAGAAATAAAATTCTTGTATATAATAATTCTATTGTACACTATTCTTAGTAAAAATAGAACTTGTGAGATTAATTTATAACAAAAAACAACAATTTTAATTGAATATCCGTAGAGAAGCTAGACTATATAACAAAAATAACTTGATTTTAAAATTCTCTTGTTTTCTCAATTTTTTTTTTTTTGTTTATAATGTTAAAATACTAGTAAAATATTTTTATTTAACAATATTTTTCTGATTTTGTTTTTTTGTGCTATTTTCTGTTTTTTTATTTTGTTATTATCGTACAAAAGTTTTTAAAAGGCATTGTTAAACTAATTTTAAATTCAGTTTGAGTAAAATCGTTAAGAAGTGTGTACACGTTAAGGGAAAAAAAAATTTAAAACATAAAAAACAAACAAAAATAAAAAATATTAAAGAAATCTTAAAAAATTTTAAATTTTATTTTTATATTTTTTTTCTATTTATTTATTGTTAATTTTAATATTTTATATTTTTAAAATATATAATTAAATATCTTTTGAAATATTACAAAATCAAAAAATGAATTTTAAATTAAATATTATTTCTAATTTATGTCTGATTGCTATTATTACAATAGCCGGATTCTCATTGTTTGTAAAAGGGGATGTTTCACACCTTCCTTTGAGTAAGTATTTATTTCTATATAATTAATTAAGCTTTAAGATTTTATAATTAGTTTGTACATATTTATATATTCGGTATTTATTGAGCAAATTTTATATGATTTTGCATTTGTAACATCTTGTTATTAAATCGTATTAACAGGAAAAAAATTTATAAAAACATACCTACATACTTATTAAAAACTTGAATTGTGGAATACTATAGGAAGCAGTTCAATATAATAGTTAAAATTATATAATTAAAAATTTTTTATATTTATAATGTTCATATAATTTAAATTACGCATTTGAGTTATATAAACTGTTATACATAAAATTATGTTATTATATAACTGATATACATAAAATTATGTAATTATATAACTGATATACATAAAATTATGAACGAGTTTCTTTATGTTTTCCTTTTTTAAATAATGATTTAAAACCAGATATTTCATATATATAATGTATAACAGTTCAAAATTATTAATTTTCATAATTCTGTAGAAATTTTTATTATTTTGTTTTGGTAATGGTTTTATAACATAATGTTATTATGAAAGAATTGCCATATGCAAGTATACGGGAAGCGTTAGGAATTAAAAATTTTAGTTTAAAAAGAGGATATAAGAGATAGGTAGTTATAATTATTTAATACATATTATATAATTTTTTTAAAATTGTTTTATTTCTTTCTTATAAGTAAAATAACAAAAAATGAGAGTAATATGAAAGTTTAAAATGTTGTATAATAGTTAAGACAAAATATAATTTAAAAAAATTAACGGAGGTTACACACCGTTATAAATAATTTATGGTCTAGTATACGGTCCAATATCATAAATGTCGTCCAATATCATGAATTTTAAATAAATATACTTTAAAATAGTATAATACGGATAGTAGTAATTGATGGTATTTGATATTAGTATGTACCAAAAGAATTTGCAATAAAAAGATTGATTAAAATAAAATTTTATTTTAAGAACTTTATTTTTATATATAATATATATTATATGTATAACACATTATTTACATAATGTGTTTTAATATTATACATATATGATATATATACATAGCTATTGCATGGAAATATTGATAACAGAAAATTGATTATTATGTCAATGAAAAATTAAAATTGACAGTAAAATGATAATATTTTCTGCAATGATGATCTAATATAATTTCAAAATTAATTCATATAAGATTTGATTATTTTAGTATACATATATATATATAAATATATGCAACTATATACCAGTATATAAATTTTTATAATTTAAGTTCTAATATTTTAATTTTATTGTTATACTATTCTAATAATTTACTGTGTCGTAATTTATTTCAAGGTGATAATAAAATTTATTTTGAAATATTAGCAAATTATTTAATTATGCAATAAATATGCAATATAATAATTGTTTATTTAATTCATAATCAGCAGATAAACTAAAAAAGAGATCAATAAGAGTTCAAGAATCATTTTGCTTAAAAGTTCATTGCGCATATACGTATCTCTTTTATAATCTATTTAAATTCTCTACATCCTATATATAATCGCAAAGTAGAACATTTATAAACTTTTATACTTAATAATTTTATTTGTAAAATTAAAATACAAATATTATATGTACATGATCAAAGAATTTCATATATTTGATTTATAACAAATGCTTATAAGGAAATATTTAATTAAGTGAATTAATTTTTATTTTTAAAAAACTGATCTTATTTTCATAATATTTAGTATAAGCATAAAAATTTATTAATATTTTTTTGTTTTGCTCATAAATATACCATGATTACTAAATAATTATTAAATGTTATTTATATATAGAATTATTATTAGGTGTAGGAAGATCCGGTAACCAAAATCACCATAATTTGAAAACAAATACAATTACGATTAAAATCATTAATAAATTTTTAAACGGATTTAACACTTAAATTTCATAAATTTTGTGGTGGCGCTTGTATTATAAATTTATTTTGTTATCTTTAATTAGAAATCTTTGAAAATTTACTAATCAGATAAAATATTATTTTTATGTCAGTATGTATATACATATATATATATATATATTGTGAATCATGATGTATGAATATGTTAATATTTTTGTTCTAAAAAGTACAATTTTTTGATATTATCTGCGTTTTGTGTATGAATAATAATAAAATATGTCATATTTTTCAGTATCCGGTTTTTTTTTTAATTTTGAGAAATAAATTGACATATATTTAGTAGTAATTCGTGTTTTTAGTTAATTTTCAGTTGTATTTGCAGAATTTATGTATATAAATTCTGTGTATTTGCAGAATTATATATATTATTATATTATATTTGCAGAATATTACAAACTTTAAAACTTGGTTTGTAATGTTAACCGTAGATATGGTAAAGAATGTAAAAGCGACCTCTTGTTCGGTTTCCGAATCCTGATACTTACAGAAAAAAATTTATAGGCTCATTATTTTATTACCGCGAATTTAAATATAAAATTTCAAAGAAAGCAGTTGGTTATTTCTCTTCATATGCACAAAAAATTGTAAAATCGGCGCAGAAAACGGCCAAATTTTTGTAATCTGATATATTACAAATGTTGACAAATCCGTGACATATAGTCGAAATAAACTCATATAAATGAAATTTCACCGAAATCTGTTGAACGGATTTTGACACACACATGCATATATAGACCACCTTATTTAATTTAAATCATGGAGCTCCCATGAATTTCTTTTTTCATACTTCTAAAATTATTCACATAGCAGTGCTGAATTTTTATGTAAATATTATAAATTACAACATCATTTGTCATAATATATGTCATAACATAATATGACATAACATAATATGTCAAATTATATTTATAATAATACCGTTATCAGAATTAAAAGACGTAAAAATAAAAAAAAGAAAAATTAAAATTTTGATGCGTATAACGTTACAGTTGACAGTAAAATGTCAAGCAAGTGAATATATTTTAAGTTAAAAGCCAAAATATTATGTTAATACCGAGAAACTTTAAAATTTCTTAGATTTCTTTATTTAATGCATTCTTTAATGTGCTGTATGTCACGAGTATTTTATTTTATAAATTCCAGGAAAGAAAATTATGCACATATTCTTTTTTATCGCAGTGCATATATTAGATTTTACATTATTTTTTGAATATCCTTCTAGAAATTTTTTTTTTATTTCTTCCCTCTCTCTCTTATTGCCTACATAAAGGTTATTTACCTTCAGTAACAAACCTGATGTGAATATTAATTAAAAAATTTTTTTTTTTAAGCGATTTCATAAGAAATTTTGTTATCTTATGATAATTAACCATATATGTGTAGGTATGTAATTAAATAGTATACAATTTTATATGTTAAAATATTTAAAAAAAAAAATTTAAGGTGCAGATTATTAAAAATCAAGTACTTACTTGGACTTATCACAAATATTTTATATACATATGTACATATACGCAGTAAATTCATTTTTTTTTTGTGTTCTTATACTTTTCTTGATTTTCTTCATTTATTAATATTATCGAACCGGATTAAAATGCAAATAATTGTGATGATAAACATAAAAATGATTAAAACTATATGTGAAAGAAAATATAATTATGAAAAACGCATATTAAGAATATATATATATATATATACATATATTCATATTATGTAGGTATAGTTAATAATAATTGTAGTAAGAAGAACTAGTTAAACAAGTTTTAATAATAATAATATTTATTTGTATTTATATAGCTCTCTAGACTAAGTACATTTTTTTTCGCCATAGTTTATTTTTCATGGTAAAAATATAAAGCTTTTAAAAAATTGATAGTGAACTTGAAATTAAAATAAATAAATATTTGTTCTTCTCTTTCTATTTTTTTTTTTGGGAATATCGCAATGATGACTTATTTTTTAGTATACATAAGTATATTGTGTATAAAAAATTGTGGTATTATATTTTTAGGATTTTTATTTTATTTTAGTCACCAGCTTGTATTATAATATGTGAAAAAAGAATGAATAATATTGTTAAATGACTTTAACCATAACCTAAAAAAAACAAAACTGGAGCTACAAAATGTCCTTTGTAATGACATAATGATATGATTGTAATTATGACATTTTGTTATTTTAGACAGAATAGTAACTGCATATTCAAGGTGAATTGAAAATTATATTTTTTTTATAAGATTTAATTCAGACAATAATAACGTGTTTTAAATTATGTACAAACACATGTTGGCAACTAAAAATAGTGCTACTGCAACAGGATATGTCATAAAAAATTTTGTTTTGACATAAAAGAGTGACATAAAATACATACTTTTAACTGTTTTATTTTTCGTTATAGTTTGTAAAATTTTTAGGTTATAATTAATATTTATTTTTACAACTTATCAATTTGTTATTATTTTGTATATAGTTTTCATGTTGAACTTTATTCCATTTAAAGGGTTTTATTTCTATTCTAAATTTATTAAAAACTTTGTTTTTTAATTTATCACTAACAACTTGCTAATTGAATTACATCATTTCTAACGTAAAAATGACGTCTAAATTTTTAGCGGTATTAGTTTTTATATTTTATTAAATAAATTTTGAATAAATTACAACAAAATTTTTCCCATAATTAAAATTACAAAAAATAAATAAAAAATTAGAAAACATTGAGACGAAAAAATGCAATTTGTCGCAATAATTTTTTCGCTTTGTCAATTATAAGGCGTAGATTTCAAGTGAATTATGTAGCATATGGCAATACCATTTTATGTCAATTCCTATGATAATCAAAATTTAAGGTATTAAAATTATATATAAATTAAGATAAAATTCATTTTATAAAATAGTATATAATAATAAAAATAATTTTAATGAGAATAAAATCTATTTTGTGTATAAATATAGCAAGACTGTAAACAAACAAAAGAATTAGGAGAAGAACTTACTTGAATTGAATTTGAAAATATTTATTAGCAGTTATGATGTAACGATTCTATTTAGTATATATATTAATATATTTATGTATATAAATAAATATATATATTGTATATTACTATTGTATAATACTATAGTCAAAGTAAAATTATTTTTGTTATTCTCCGAATAAATAAATTAGAATTATATATATTTAATTAGTAATATGATTTTTGTTCTTTAAAGCAGTTTAGTAAAACATAAAAGCTACATTAGTGTTATACAAATAGAATAAAATAAAATATACATACAAATAAATATTAATTTTTTTATTATTACACTACCTATATATTATAATTTTTATTGCATGTCTCTTTTAATGTATTCAGAAAGAAAACATTAAAATTCATATATACATTATATATAATTAATTATTGAATTGATTTCAGTTGTAGTTCTCACATTTATTATAATTATGTATATACTATGGTTATAGTGGAACATAGTATATTTATATAAGAAGCTGTTATATGTATATACAACTATTAATATATTACTTTAATTTTGCTAAGTTATTAAAATGACAATGCGTTAGTTATGAACAATAGACAATTATTTTGATTGTTAAATTTTATTTTCTTTAATTCTCTCAGAAGTTACATTTATGTATTTGCTCAGATTTCAAAATAAAGATGCAATATTATCTCCGGTTTAACAGATTAGTACTTTTAAATATAACAGTTATAATGAAACAGTTATAATAACATATATGTAGTTATTTTTATCTAATATTTTATCATTTATTTTCCTAATAAATTTGAATTATATACACGATTTTATTATAAATTATGACTGTTACATAATGCAGTTCAAGAAAATTGTCGTTGTGTTTAATACACGATTCTCATAATATAATATTTTTTTTGGAATTATCCTATAGAAAAATGTTTTTTGCGCTATTTATTTTTCGGGGAATTTTAATAATCAAAGAAAAACAAAAAATTATTTGCCGTATTATATATACAATTTAATTATGTAACAATAAAGTAATAACATATTGATATAAAACGTCATTCAAACAATTAATTGATTTGTCTAAAGTGTCAAATGTTTTTAAATTATCCACCTATTGTTGCATTTGACGTATTTTATTTAAATATCATTAATGTACGCGCAGGGTTTGAAACATTGCTATTAAAAATGAATAATATTACAATTTATTTAACTAAATTTTACAGTTGCTTATGTGCGTTCCATTTAAATGTGCAAACTACTCATACTAGCTTATATACGAAGATTCTAAATGGAACGGTATATTTGTAAAATATAACCCTATTTTTTTGACATAACCATTTTTTTCGTAAAACTTTTTGTTTTTATTATTTAAATGTAAAATTAATAGAAAAAGATATTTTAAATATTAAAAGCAAATGCCAAAATAACTCTAATAATATGAAATCCATCTGTTGTAAATCTAAAATATTACATTTTCATCTACTGGAAAAAAACCGCTCCTCTACAGATGACATATAACAGTTGGTTAATATCTTATTCGCATTAAAATATCCCAAAAGAATTTGAAAATATTTTAAAGTTTAGAATAAATTATATAATAAATAATTTGTATTTAAAAAAAAAAACAAATCGGTCATATCAAAAAGAACACTTCTTTTTCGGCATATTAGACTTTATGTCCGCTTATTGTTGGAAACAGAATAATATATACATAAACTTCATATAACAGAATAAAAATATGTTTTCGACCATATACATATATAAAATTAACTTTTATATTTGTATATAAAAGCAATAAATTTTATAGTAAACAATACAATTTATAAATATTTAAATTTATATTTTATAATAGTAATATATTTCCGGTTCTTCTAGAAAATTTATGTATATATATATATATAGAAATTAATAAAAAACGGTTTTAAAATGAATTCATTAAACTTGATTATAGAAGAATTCTTTTTCTAAAGGAAAACAAATAAATAAATATTCAGTGTTACAAAAAATATATATTAGTGTTTAAAGCAGTCTATAGAATTTACACATCTATATAAAGTATAAAATATTTTTTTAATAAATTTAAGCCTTTTTTATATTTAAATAAAAATTCGTCATAAAAATGAAAAAAAATTAAAAATATACTATTCAAAGGTGGTTGGTTTTATGAGTTCTTTTTAGAATATTTTTGGAGTCAAAAGAAAAAAATAATTCCTTTTCGGCAAACATTTATAATTTATTTAGATAAAGTTTGCCGAAAAAGGAAATTTTGATTAAAATTTAATTTAAAAGGAGAAAGCCGAAAGTATTATACATAATATTGAATTTCAAAAATTTTAATTGATTTTTTATTAGTGTTTTTATATTGATATATGGTAATTTAAATGAAATTTTTTTTATTCAAAATTGCAAACATAAAATGACGTTCTTTGTTTATCGTATTTTTTATGTAACAATTTTGATAATTTTATTATTTAATATGCTAGATGGGGTCATATTGATTTTTAATTACATTATGTAAATTGTTGCCAAAACATAATAGAATTATTTTTTCTTATAAAAGTTTAAAACTTTTTAAATTCTAGAATTATTCAGAAAATTAAAATTCTTACAGGAATTACAAAAAAAAATTTATTATTTGTTATATTTAAGGTATTTTTTCAAAATTTATACCTACAATTATATTAATTACATTGACATACGAGTAATTATAAAAATTCTTATACCGTAAATATTTCTATGTATGCAAGCATTCGTTGAAAATTTTGTATATAAACAAAATTTAGAAAATAATGTTTGTAAACATTTGTTTAGTATTGTATTGATATTATATTTTGTAATGTGTAGATACAATTATAATTTTGAGACATAATTATAAGTATAATATAAAATGTATATAAACAAAATGTATCTAGAAAAGCTCTCTTTTTAATATATTCTTTAAAACAAAAAAAAATTATATAAATCGCATATTGTGAATATGTTGTGTTTAAGAATTGTGAATATAATATGTAGTTAACTAAAATTTCAATGTGGTTGTTGGTAAATACAACAATATAATATGTACAGTATCTTAACCAGAGATTTACAATATAAAAATTAATATTTTCAAATACATGTTTACTATAAAATAAATGCTCCACTTCAAATAATATATTAATATAAAATATTTATATATCCCGTATAGTCTAGTGGCTAGGATAGCTGGCTCTCACCCAGCAGGCCCGGGTTCGATTCCCGGTACGGGAAGTAAAAATTGGGTTTTTTTTTATTTCATAATAAAAACATAAAATTTTTTTATAATTACATTATAATATAAAATAAGTAAGTAGATTGTCTATTTATTAGCATATAAAAGGTCTGATTAGTCCGAAGAGCATTCGAGGTTTCTACAATATATTGTGATATGAATATAATTATTTCTATATATACATATTAAATATAAATATAAAACTTGATAATAAATTCATATTAATTTTCTTTTTTTGTATACAATTTTTAGGTACTAGATCTGAGCCCCCAGTTACTGAAGTTTGTTTAGGATGCATTTGTGAAGCTATAAGTGGATGTAATAGAACGCTAACATGTAATGGTGATACATGTGGTTTATTTAGAATTACATGGCCTTATTGGGCAGATTCAGGTAATGTAATCAATTTTTTTTTTCTTATTACAACTAAAAGCACATATAAATTAATTGTAATTTTTTTGAAATTTTAGGCAAACCAACATTAAATGGAGAACCAGAGACATCAGAAACTGGTAAATAAAATTTGTATATTTTATATTAGAAAACTATAATAGTTACTATTTTTACAATTTAAAATCAAAAATTGTAATGTATGAAATAAGAATAGTGTCTATATGTTTTCTATATAGTATGTATGTATATCTGAATAAATGATAAGAACATATAAAAAATAATAGATATAGCTTGTAGATACAGAAGCCCTTGACAGAATAAAAACAAATTAATCAATTATTTTACTTTACTAATCTAGTATTTATTTTGTTTTGACTATAATCTAATCTAATTTTAATCTATACGTGTAACGTATAATATAGGTGCAAGCTTTTAATAATTATTTTGTTGTATACAATATTTTGATAAAATATGTATTTCCAATATATATGTGTAATGTTGCCAAATATTAATAAGAGGCGCCGTGGCTTAGTTGGTTAAAGCGCCTGTCTAGTAAACAGGAGATCGCGAGTTCGAATCTCGCCGGGGCCTTCACAAGTTGTGGTGTTTTTTTTTTCCAAATTAATTTTTAGTAATTTCCACAAATATTTATTATTTTGCGCTTACATTTTATGTTTGATGATTAGATTACGGCATCTAATAATTTAATGTAGATAACGTAATTTATTTACTAGTGAATTGGAATATTTTGTGCTAATACGTACCCATATATTATAGAAATCTTGAATTTGCAAAATCTACATTTTAAATGTTTAAATATTTTTTTTACAAAAGTTGTTTTCGTGTTACATATACTTTAATTAATCTAGATTTAAATAACAATAAAATGGGATAAATTAAATAATTAACTATTTTTATTTTATGAATTTATTGAAAATCATACACTATATATTACTCAGGCGGCTCATCTAGACCAAATTAAATCTTTAATAATATTTATATATTAAATATTAGAATATTTTTTTAAAAATAATTCAAATTTTTTTTTTCATTTTCATAGCTTATCCAAATTGTGTAAATGATCCATTCTGTGCTGCCAGAACAATACAAAATTATATGGCCAAATATGGACAAGATTGTAATGAAGATGGTAAGATTTAATTATTGATTAAATATGATTAAAAATTCAATAATAAATTAAATATAAACAAAAATACTTTTAGGTGAAATAAACTGTTATGATCATGCTGCAATCCATAAATTAGGAGCATACGGATGTAAAGGTGATTTTAGCGGTGTCTATTTTAAAAAGTTAAATGAATGCTTACAACAAGTTCAAGCGATTACCGGCTAAATGAAATATGAATTATTTATATATATATGTTTTTTTTATGTATTTCATAGCCAAGAATGTTATAAAAACAAAAAATTTTTTTTGATCTTTCAACTACATATTACACATTATGTATTTACATATAGATAATATGACTAAATTTAATTATAGAATTAACAAAAAACATATTATATAATTAATAATAAAAAAAAAATAATAATATTAGCATTATGTTGAAGTCATTACAATTTTGTTCAGAACTGAAATCGTATATTTTATTTAATTTTAACAAACAAAACAAAAAAAAAACCAACCTTCTTGTCTTTTAAATTAAGTAGAATTAAAAAATAAAAATTAAATATTTTAAAAAAAATATATAAAATAGAAAATTTAAAAGAGATTGAATTTTTTTTTCAAATAAAATTTAATAAAACAATAGAATAATATTGAATTTTTTTTTTTTTGCACATATATAACAGTTAATAAAATATTTTATTTTATCACAGTTTACCTTCCATACCAAGAATACTCTTCTTTTTAAGTAGGAATCATATTTATTTAGATTTTTCAAGTACGTTTTGATAGCCCCTAATTAAACTCGCCTTTTTGTTAATTCTAATTCTTTAAGATTCATTCAAATTAAAAAATGAAAAAGGCTTCTGAACTATAATATTGTTGAATAAATCAAATTCATCTTGAGTCATTATAAATGAGTATTACTTACATGATGTACTTATATTGTTATCGAAATGATACAATATTGAATGTTTTTGTTTGAGGAAATTATAGCATGTTATATTTGGATGTAATCAACTTTCAGCAAATTATAAGAATCATGAAATGACTCGAAATATATTAGCTAAAATAAGAATTGCAATTGTATATAAAACATTTTTTAATTTTTAAAAAATAATAAATAAATATTGCATACTTTTTGGATAACTATATTATACAGCGCCATCTCTTTCCGAGTACATATAAGATTCTTTAATAATTTTTCTGTAATTGTCGAATATAGATTACAGATTCTCGATTCTGGTGCTCAGTTTCCTTTGATTTGTAATTTTCTAATTTTTAATATTTTTGCTGTACTTCGTTTGATTTATAAATTTTTTATGATTCATTTCAATTTAAAGGTTTTTATTTGAGAGTTCATGTCATATTAATTTTTTAGAACATAAATTACTATGTATTTCTTTCAGGAAATTTGGTGGAGGAGGCAAAAAATTCAAAATACCATATATTTTTTTAAATAATACAACTTTTTTTTTATTATTATTATTATTAATTTTTCAACTACAATACATGAAATTATTATTTATTTTTTTTTTGTAAATATACTTTTTTTTTTCACTCAAATTATAATTTTTCTTGTTTTCTTTTTTTAATATTATTATTATTATATTTTTTTTATTATTGTATATTAAGGTATACATATTTCTCTACTTATCATTTTTTTTTTTTCAAATAATAAATTATTTAAGGATAGAATTTTACATATTTTTTTTTTTAAATTTAAATATTTTTCTTTAATTATTATTTAAAAACATTTAATTCAACGATTCTATATGGATTTTAATTAATCGATTATATAATCACTTTCTGTTTTTTCCTTTTTCTTTCCTTTATTTAAAAAAATTTTTATTTTACGAATTTATACAAACAACTTTGGAATCAACTAAAACTATTCAAGTATGTTTTGAAATCCTGAAACTCTAAATTTATTAGAAAATTTATAAAATGTAAAGAAATTCATGTAAAAAACTTAAAATATCATTGAATTTTTCTTGAAATTAAATCCATTTTTTGATTTTCAAAAAAAAAAATACGAAAAATATCAAAAAAGTCAAATGTCAAGTATAAAATATCAAAAAAGTCAAAAAGTCAAGAAATGTTTACAAAATGAAGTGTCGATCAATACTGAAATGTCAAATCAATACTGAAAATTCAAATCAATTACGAAATTTAAAATTCTTAAAAGAAAATCTAAACGAAAATAAAATCATTTTTAAAATTACAATAATGTGAAAAAAATTTTATGTTAATTTTTAAATTTTTTACATTAAATAATTTAAATTTTTCTATTTATTTTACAGAGTCGGACAAAATTACTTTTGAATAGGAATTTTTTTCCTTTTAATTTTTTAAAAATTTATTTATGATTATGGTATGGGCACAAAAATTAATTAATTTTTTATCACGAATTTATACAAGGAATTTTTTTTTTTTTTTTAATTTAGTTCATATAATATTGTATAACAGATTATAATTTCTGTTTGTTTCAGGATATAATTTATAATATTATAGTAATTTTATGTACACATTTTTTTTGTTGGTCATCTTTTAATTGAAGTATTTATGTTTTAAAGATTATTAAATTTTAATATTTATACAATATAATAGTATGAAGCTATTCATATTATATACACAGTTTTTAGAGGTTTTTGAAATTAATTTTTAAATTTAGTTATAATTATTAACATTTTTGTATAGGTATAAGATTTTCATCAGGCTATATAATTATATAATATAAACATTTCTCTACTTTTTTTTTCTTTTGTTCTGTTTTGTAAGAGTTTTAGTTGAATTCCCATACTTTAAATTTTAAGACACTCATTTCTTGAATTTATACATTCTTTTTATTTTTATATTTTAACATATACATGAATCATTTATGTATATGTTTATATTATATACAAATATATTCATATATAGTTTTTATTAAATTTTGTTGTTTTTTTTTTATAATTTTCAATAACAATCTAAAAACTATAATTTTGATTTAATTACATAATTTAGTAAAATTTTAGGTTTTCTTTTTTATGTATACTTAATAATTAATTTTAAATTTAAAAAATTATATTTAAATTTTTACAATTTAATGATTTCATTTCTTTTTTTTTTTTTCATTTTTTACTTTTTTGTTAATGTGGTGTTGTAATAATTTAATTGTAAAAAAAAATAATTTTATTAATTACAAGTGTCCGAGACTCAATGGAACTCCCGAAGCAAGGTGATAGAATGCCTCTAGAGGAACAAAAGCAGGAGCTGAAATTTTACTTTTTCGACTTTATTTCTATATATTAAGTTTCTGAAAGCCGCCGAATTTTTTTCATTCTATGGCGCTGATTCCGGAGTTCCATCAAGTTTCGGACACCCTATATATTGTTATACAATTTTAATATAAAATATTTGTTATTTTCAAATATATTGTGGAGAGAACAAAAAAATAATAAAATAAATTTTAATAAATTTTCAATAATTATGTAAAAAATATAGAATATTGAGTCAGATTTATTATTCATATATGTCATACTATCATAATCATATATACATTCATATATACTAGTTTAAAAGATTATTTTTAAAATAATAATCTTTATTTATTATTATTTATATACATATTTCAATATTTTTATACACTACATATTTCAAATTATTTTTAAAATTAAAATATCTATTTTCGGTATATTTGTGGCTTTTAAAAATTTGAAAAAAAAATATATAAAATTATTTTTAAATTAAGCAAAGGATTTACTAATTCGTTTGACAAAACAATTTTTATACTTTTCATTTAATTTTATGGTCATCACGTATAACACATTAAATGTATAACACTTCTGACTAAACCAATTAATACAAGCTCACTGTATATTTTTATTTAGAAAGTAACTCTTTAATTTATAGGTTAGTTCAAACATTCTTAGAGATATATAATAGTTTTTCATATCTCACCTCATTATAATTTAATCATCAGTACAAATCAGTACAAAGATTATAAGTCTTTGCACTGACTTGTTATACAGATTGATTTGATTGCAAGTGTTATACATTAATATTGTTGTACAGATTTAAAAACAAAAAGGAATGCTAAAATTATACAGGCATGCATGTATGTATATACTTTTGTATTTTTATTTCTGTTATACAATTAAAGTTTTTTTTTTCTGTTTCTTTTATACTAATATACAGTATATCAGTGTTATAAGAAATACAATGTCAAACGAATGATAATTAATTATAATATTGTATAATGGTATGAATTTTTTTGTTTTAACATAAATTATAATTATATAAAATTAATAATTAATATATAGGAACTTTTTTTTTTTTGTTATAAAACATAATTATAATAATATGATAATCATAAATTGGCTTTTAATTTGAATTTATGTTATATTTACAATTTGGTTTTTTTTTTCATTAAATTATCAGTTTTGCATAAAATATATTTTTTATATATATATACGATATATGTATATATTAAGTAATTTTGTCAACGCTTTATAAAATATTGATTTCTATATTACTATATTGTGGTTTTTAACGATAACATTTTGCAAAACAAGTATCTAAGTTCACGTAATAATTATTAAAAGATTTTTAGATTTAATTATTTTTCGAATTTTTATAAATGAATATTTTTTTTTATATATTTATTTCGTTTATCTATTATTATTAATAGTAAAATTATGGAATGATTTTGCTATTTTATTTACAAAATTATATAATGAAAGGAACTAGCAGAGTTGTGTGTGTGTCTTTTTTTTTTATAAATATACAGTGTAAAAAATTGTAATTATAAGAGGACTAAAAATTCAAAAAAAATAATATTTATTTATATAATTATGTACAATATATTTATGAGGTTATGATTGTAATTTATATTTTATTTTTTATTATAAATATTGTGATTATTTGTTTCTATATTCCGTTTTTATGTAATTAATATGTACATAGATTTAAAATTTATTTAATTAAATATTCATTATATATAAACTATTTTCAATTAAAAGTATAAAAAATATGTTTGTGTGATTTTCGTATTAATAAAAATGAACATTTAATTTTACATTTTTGTTATATATAACTATAATTTTCAATATTATTATAAAGTGAAATCAAAATTCGGCATAAGACGCGCTAAAATTAATATTTCAATTATTATATTAATGTTAAAATAAATTTTCAAATTGATAATATACATTCGAATATGGTGTACCTAACTTCATCTATACTGAATATAACTATAGAACTAAAAAAGTTTTGTCAAGTGTTCTATCATATAGCTCTTTAAGTAGTATATTGAATAGAGATTTTATTTTAGAAAATTATTTATGATTTGTAGGTTCAATTTATGAGTTGTTATATTAAATAATATAATCGGAATTATAAGTGAATATTTCATATTTTCGCGGTGATTATATTCGGAATCAAACCTTTATATGAAATTAAACCTAGCCATTCGTATATAATTAATATAGAGAATGAAATATAAAATTTCGAAAAGTTGATCGTTTTCTATC